CTCCTGCACAAAAGTCAATTTATACGGACGAAGTTTTTCTTCATGAAGACATCTTACGTTAGTTGTATTACGTTAGTTGCTGTTTATTATTAAACCCATTTTTGTAGCTGATTATTTTAATGCTACATACGCCTCTCGTACAGCGTTTTCCGTTCTCCCAATAATATTGATATCAGCATAAGCCAGGATTTGAACTGATTTATTATTTATTGAACCAGTGATTGTGATTTGTGACATACGTATTACTTTTTCCAGAGCCAAATTGAACAATATACAGGAGAGAGGGTCTCACTGGCATAACCCATTATTTGCTTTATAAGGTTCGGACAGTTCATCCTGAATTCATACTCCACATTCAACTTTTTCAAGAGATAGTTTAGTTAAATTTACCAACTGATTTGGTATTCCTAGCTCTTTCATTGCTTTAAACATTTCTCTTCTATTCACAGAGTCGTAGGCTCCACTGTAGTCTATAAGTGTATGATAAGTATCAATTCCATATTCCAGTGTTTTTTCCAAAATTTGTTTCAGGGTTGCAATCTGATGAATGGTCGATTTACCACCTCTGAAATCAACCTGGTATTTTCCTACTATCCGTTCTGCATATAATGCCATACGATGACATAGTACTGTGGAAAATATTTTTTACGCTGCATTTAGAAGCATAATTCCTCTGTGGTTAGAACACTCAAAGATGTCTGCTTCTTTGTGTATGGTGCAAAGTATTCCAATCATTGGGGAGGGATTTTTGTGTCCATATTTTTTTTATAAGCTGCTGTAATGCCATTATAGTATCATAGTCACCTTCATTATATAGTTCAGCTTGGAGATTATCTATTCCGAGTGATTTGTTTCTGGCTAGATGTTTAACTGCAACTTTAACTTCCCTCGTTGGTCTTCCCTCTCGTCTTTTCCCCTTATCTCATCTCTTTCGTCTTCCAGGTTATCTTCTTCTTCCTCTATATTAAGTGCCTGATTAAAGTATTCCACTCATCTATTCAATACATATTTCCTTGTTGTTAATAAGTCGCCATTCTGACTTGTCTTGTAGTTGCCTTGAATTATTTTCTGTTAATGTTAAGTTTCTTATAGAATGCTCTGAATTCTTTCTCTCTGTTGAGGTTTTCTATACAATATGATGCAAATGTATGGAATAAATTCATTATTTCAGAAACAGACGACTTTAAAAAAAATCTTAAAAACAAATTAATTTTAATTTTTGAATGACCTTCAACTGATATATATGTATGTGTTGGACATTACGTCATCAGTGTCGGCGTAATTGACGATTTTTTTAAACACAAACCGTCGCGCGACTGCTCATTTGAAAGGTCTCCTTATTGTCTTTGCAACGATATAATCACTTGAATATTTATTTCTACAGGGTTCACCAAAATTATGAAGTTTGTTAAGTAACATGGAATTACAATAACTATTCATTCACTGAACTAAAATATACTAAGGAACGCCATTGCGAATAAAACAAAATAGTGTTTTTTGCTGGTTTTGAAAAAAAAATACATTGTTAACAAACAATGCTACATTATAATCTGAAATTAATTATTGTAGTAAGCATTTCAAGTTAATTTTCAAAAATATTTAAATACATATTGTCATTGACTCGTCTTTATTTGTCAATGATCTGTGAATCTGTCAAATAATAGACGTAACATTTTTACTCTTTAGTTTTTAGCCGACATTAATAACAGCATTTACAAAAATGAAACTAACAGAAACAGAACGAATCGATATTTTAATTATGATTGGTTATGGAGATAGAGTGAGGGCTTATAAGCAGAAGTTTGTAATTTATTTAATGCTAAATACCCCGATCGCGAACCAATTACTCAATCAACAGTAAGTAAAATAAAAAAAAATGTAGAGAATTGGCCATGTTAAAGATCTTCCCAGAAGTGGTAGAAGATCAATATCCGAAGCCAAGAAACTGGACATTGCACTGGCGTTTCAAGAAAATCCCCATAGCAGTTCTAGGCAGGTCGCACTAGATAATAATGTCCACCAATCAACTGTTGTAAGATTGCTAAAAAAGGAGAAGTGGCATCCATATAAAGCACATTCGGTCCAGGAGCTATTAGAAGATGACTTTGATAGAAGAATTGAATTCTGCGAAGCGTTATGCAAATATGTAACAGATATCAGGGTTTCATACAAAATGGTTTTTTTCAAAAAACAAATGGTGGTTTTTTCTGATGGTCTTTTATGCTGGACGGTCAGCTAAATCGCAAGACATATCGATACTGGGCAAGTGAAAATCAACATTGGATGACAGAGTATAGGACACAATATCCTGAAAAGATGAATGTTTGGGCCGGCATTATAAGCAATCAAATTGTAGGGTCATATTTTTTTGAGGAAAACTTAACTGCTTCTCGTTATATCTAGAATTTCTTCAGGATTATTTGTTGCCACAGCTGAACCAGCTATTCGAAAATAGAAATGATTTGTGGTACCAACATGATGGGGTTCCCCCACACTACGGCGTTGAGGTACGAAATTACCTTAATAGCGTTTTCCCATGTAGGTGGATAGGTAGTAGAGGGCCCATCGAATGAGTACCAAGGTCTCCAGATTTGACTCCGTTAGACTTTTTTTGTGGGGATATTTAAAGAGCAGACTTAATCAATCGACCGAATAATGTAGAAGAGTTGAAGGAGCGCATCAGAACGGAAATTACACAAATAACTCCTAAAGTCATCGGAAAGGTTAGGAAATAATTTATTGCCCATATTTCACGTTGTATTGTTGCTAAAGGTCGTCAATTTGAACATTTGTTGTATTAATTGTATTTAAGTAAACATTTATTGTAAGGTAATTGTATTAATAAACCAACAGTTTTGGTTAACCCTGTAGAACTAAATATTCAAATAAGTATATCGTTGCAAAGGCGATAATTAGACCTTACAAATGAGCTGTCCCTTGACCTCGGTTTGTATTTAAAAAAATCGTCGATTACGTCATTACGTCGACACTGATGACGTAATGTCCAACACATATATAGCAATTGATGGCCATTCAAAAATTTAAATTGACGTGTTTTAAGATTTTTTTTAAAGTCGTCTGTTTTCTGAAATAATGAATTTATTCCATATATTTGCATCATACTGTATATTAAGTTCCTCATTTAGGTGGTTTGGTTTTTTTTTTTTCGTTTGTGAATCCTCTTTTCTTGTCTTCTCTTTGTATGGTAATTCTCTACAGTTGTTCTAGTTCGTCGGATAAGCAACTTCCTGTGGGCTTCATTTTTTTTAAATGAAATGAGGTTGAATGCTCGAATAAATGAACTTTGAAAATAAGGCTATTATCGAGCACAAAATAATTAAATCAAGCCCAAGTACTTTCGCTTTAATAGCATCTTCAGGGGCATTTCGTCAAAATAAGATCTATCCAGCAAGCGTAGGAAGTTGAAACATTAAAACTAACATAAATTATACAAAACACTACACTAAAACGAGGACAAACAGTTTAAAATTGCTTCTACGCTACATTCTCTGTCAGTTTCTGGAGGGATAATCCCTTAAGATAAAAATAAACTTACTTCATTTCCCTTATACATTTTGTAATTAAACACACTTGCGCTCGATAAGGAGTAATAATTCCAATACTGTATTTACAGGTCGGTAATACATGCGTATTCAATGCTTTTAGTATACAAGAAACAACATCTAGTTCATTGGGGTTTTCATATTCTGAGCTAAAAAATAAATATATTGTATTATTACTAGTTAAACTCGAAACATATAGGTAAGCAAGCTAGGTGAATATATAAATAAGTTAAAAAAATACGAAATTTTTAAACGACCATTTTTAATTATTATAATAATTAAAAGAACACTTTCAGTTTCCGCGTCTTCTTCAGTTTTATTCAAATTACGAGCTTCCAGTACTTAATGGCATCCATATATTTCGTTGGCTTGCTTCGCGTTGGTTGAATTGCTTGATTTGTTCAGTCCTTATGTCGTTAGGGCCAGAGCCTTTGATATCTTTCACGGACAGGAGTATTTCACGTAATTCGTCGAGATGAAGGGATCTTGTAGGATGTGGTTTTCGTTGCTTTCATTTTTTTTGGATTTTAGTTTTCTGTGGCCCTGTGCTGGTTTTTCCTTTTAATAGCAGTTATCTGGTTAGCAGTCACATTGCCTGTTTGAGTTGTTGCACTTGGCTTATCTTGATTTAAGTTATTGTAAGTTTCCAAGTTGTTCTACTATTCTCTTGCATGTCCAGGCTCTCTATCAGGTTGGTCACTTTTCTCATTTATTTGCAGCTAGCATATGTAATAAAATCTCGCCTGCTTCGATGGTGTCTTCAGAAAAAGGATCAGTCTCATACAATTCTTTACATTTCTCCATGGCTTCTTCGTTAGTAAGACCAGAGATATACTGAGTGCGAAAGCGCCTGGGAGTATTGAGAAAAGCCTTTAAATTGTTACGAACATGCATTCAGCGTGGTCCGCCTTACGGTTGCATCTCGAAGCATCTCAAGCATCAAGAACCATCGATCGATAGATCCCTCGACCGCAAGAGAACAATCAGTCACGTATTTGACTGAACTAGAATTAGAGGTGGGAACTTTCTAGAACATAGTAACTTTGGTATATATATGTAACGAAATTAGGAGTTAAATTTTAGTCGATAAGATAGTAGCGAACTGTAAAGTTATAAATAAATATATTTATATAAATTCGAACCGCTCGTTTTATTTAAAACGGTACAATATGATTCTACACTTAGTTGTAACGAGTCAATATGATTTTCGAGGTCATTTGTAAAGCTGGACCACTTAGCCCTTTTAAAATTGAAGTGTGTCTAAAAAGGCACCTTGAAACGATATACAGTGTGATTCGTAAGTAATGAAGAATTAAAAAAAAAATAATTATCAAAATTCATAATTAACCTAAATGTGATGTGATCCTCCTTAGTGGTCCTTATTTACCCCTAATGTATGCCTATTTACCAAGGAATGATTCTGATTATTAAACCTACCTGTTATTATATGAATTTGAAGAGTTCATAAGGTTTAAACACTAAATATGGCTTAAGTCGTGGCTCTATTGGATTAGTGCATATTGGAGAAGATTTCAGTGCTCCGTCATAAAATTTTCTATTTGGATAATCACATATGGCTGGATTCATTCGATATTGTTCACATAGCATTTTCATTGGGCTCTTGTCTCGATTGTTTACAAATTTTTCATATATCCTTGTAAACAAAGATTTGCCAAATCCGACATCTTGGGCTTCCTACAATTAGAATTTTTTGACATAAAAAAAGCGTCTTACATTATACAAAAAAAATTATACTTGGAAGTCCAACAAATGAACATAGTGTGGATTCGTCTTTTTATGTAATACGAACCTTCTCTATAATGTATAACATAGTTTATAGACCAACAACTTGTATAAATTATTATATATATATATATATATATATATATATATATATATATATATATACTGTCGATATAAACAAAGTTTATTAGGGCTGCAGTCAGAAGTTTAGCCGGGATGTTATAGAAACACTCTTTTGACTTTTGGTCTAGCTTTCGGAATTGTTTTATTCCTTTTTCAAGATACTGTAATTAGGAGAATGTGTAAATATTTACAATATATCACAAATTGTCAGTGCAACTTACTAGTCGTTGAGATTAATTATACAAAGCTATGACACTCAACATACATATAAAATAAAACATATAAAATAATGGACAAAATACATTTTAAAATTTAGTTAAAAGTAAAAAAGGATAGTAAAACTTCGTTTGCGACATCTTTTAATGGTGTGTTTTAACTGATTCATAGAGAACAGAAAGGAGAAAAAACAAAAATAATTATGATTAAAATGTAATTAGGTGTTCTTTATGTTGTATTAATGAAAGTAATGTATTAAACCTGTCTTGATAGTATGCAACATGTTTTGCATGCAGGTGTATTATGGTGTGTATATGTAAAAGTAAGTCTTTATTTCATTTTTGATGTTTTGTTAGTAAGCAAACATCAATATTTCAAAAATCAAAATTTGTTGTTTGTATATACATATATATATATATATATATATATATATATATATATATATATAATATATATATATATATATATATATATATATATATATATATATATATAATTTTTTGTTTATTATTTAAAATAATTTTTTTTTGTATATATCAGGTTCTGTCGGTCTGGAAATAAAACAATTCTATGTTTTTGTCACTTAATATTTCGCAACTGATTGTTGGCTTCATCAGAAGTGCACTACAAATTTATTAAAACAAAAAGATAAGCAACATTAAGATAAAATTACATAAATATTTACTTACAGAGGTAGAACTGACACAAAAAAAGACATGCATTTTACACTGTCACAATTAGACTGACAATTTTAAAATAAGTTAAAATACACATAAAACAACAAAAAGTGTATAGTTGAATACACGAATTTCTTTATATTTCTATATATAAAATAAAGTAGCAGGTACACGGTAAATTAATTTTGACTTAAATGGATTGCAAAATATTGATGTATTATAATATAATATATATTATATAGCATATATTATATGCTGTTTAACTGATTCTTATATGCTTTGTAGGTTTTACATTTTTTATGTTTGTAATATATGTGTTATATTACTAACAATAAGTTATTAGGAAGTTTTTATGTTATATTGTATATAATCAAACAAAAATGTAATTTAGAAGCCACTTACTTTATTGCACACAACTGCAGGTAATTGTTGGGATCTCCAACGAGAATGAATTTATCGACGTTCAGCATAATGGGAAAAAGAGATTCTATTTCAGTACACTGAGTAGCTTCATCGATAATGCAAGCAGTGTATTTTACGTTTGACCTAAAAAATATTAATAGTTTTATGTTATTTTTAAGTATATTTAATGTAGATGACAGATAATTCTCACTAATTACTTTTAACGTTTTTTTTTGCAATTTTGAACACATGGATTCCGCCAAAATTAATAGAATCAAAAGTTAGAATGCTGAGGATTGGGAAGACTGCAGTGTACATTAGGAATAAAAAAGGTGCAAGTACGCTTTCTTGCGGTACACCTGCTTTGATAGGAAGTATCTGTTTAATAGGATTTGGTAGGATTTTAGGAGTGCAAAGAAAGAATAAGGCAACTGTTTTTTTATCTTATACAGTTCATGCCAAACCTTCTCGAAGGCTTGACTGACATCTGGGAAGGCTGCGGAGAAGTAGGATTTACTTTCCTGAGCGTAGGAGATTTTTTTACTATTCTGCGTACCCGTTCAATTGTCCCATGCTTTCACCTGAAGCCGAATTAGTGGTCCGGAATAAGTTTAGTTTTTTCTAAGAGTGAAATCAATCTTATCAAAAGACGGTTTTCTTGCTGTTATTGTCTTGCCTGTTATCAGATCAAACCCTGGTTTTATATTTTTCATCATTGTATTCCTCAATTAAATTAGCACGCCTTCGATGGATAGGACATGTAATTAGGCGAGATGAAGATGTAACGATCAGAAAAATTTTCGAACGAAGAGGACCTGTGGAAAGACGAGCCAGAGGAAGACCAAAACTTAGGTATCAAGATAACACAGAGGATGATCTAAAATCCATCGGAAGTAAAGAACGGAGAAGAGTTGCCAGAGACAGGGGAGAATGGAAGATTGTTCTGAAGAAGGCTTCGGCTTATAACGAGCTGCAATGCCACTGATGATAATGATTCCTCAATTAGGTAAGCGTAAAGTTATTAGGCTTCGGTAAATCTCGGTGTATTTGTCGTTGGGATGTGGCTCTTTTAGTTCAAAAACTTTTACTAGGTGTTCAGTCTTTATTATCTCTAGTCCCGAATATAGAACAATAAAATAGCTGACGGAGGTATTGACATGAGACGATGAAAACCTGAATAATGATATCTAAAACAAAGTGCTTTAAAGCAGCTTAAAAAGACTTCCATCAACTATCAAGTTAATAATTGGAAATAACTGGTGAATAATGAGAAAGAGTGGAGAATTATGTGCAATAAAGTTCTGAGCCTCCTTGTTCTGCAAAGCTTTGAAGAAGTTTGGAAATCGGGGAAATAAATTCGTCAGGAAAATATGCGAAAAAAGAGAGAGAAAGATATATGGGCAAGGAGGACCAATCTTGAACTGATGTAGTTGTACAGCGAGCCCTCAAACAACAAATGTAAAATAAGATCGCAAATATTTCGGTGGCTGCGACATGTATAAAGACCTCTAGAATAGATCAACACTAGAACAACAAAATAGCTGCTGGAGGCATCGACGATGAAGAGGAAGACTTAAAACAAAGTGGTTTAAAGTAGTTTAAAGATTTTGCGTTAAGTTAAAACGCTTTGTCCTGCGTATGTCTAATGATATGCAATAATCTTATATGTAATCGCGATACCATGCTGGTGCTTACAAATTCAAATAACAAGACGGAGAAATCATTGTACGTCATAGATTGCATTACACACATCTTAGCATAAAAGAGTGAAAATAATTATTAATTTTTTTCGCTCATGGCCGTCAGAGTATATAGCTCTTTTTTAAGGTGTCACTTTAGTGAGAAAAGTGAATATATATCGTCCTGAAACAAACAACTGTCTAAACATAAATTATTTGGCCACTTAAAAAATCGAAACAATGTACCAACCTCTGTGCAATCTTATCTTGACACCAACTTACTTGTTTTTGTTAAAAAAAGTTAAGTAAAAGCCAAGCAACGCAAATCTAACGTTAGACGTAAAAAACTCAAATCTTTAATACTAACGGACACACCTGTCAAAGAAAATTTAGAAAAAGAAGCTAGAATTCGAGAAGAAAAGGTCAATAAAAAAATAAAAATATATCAAACTAAGAGACAAGTTGTAAAAAAACGTGTATTTAGAGAAAGCACATCTTCCAGTAACAAAAGTGTCAGTTAGCAAGAAAGCTTCGATTCACCAGAAGATTTTGACGATGTAGAATCCAATCCACCCAAAGTTTCAAAAGGGACTATGCTATTGCAAAAGTTTATGGCAAGACTAATGCAACCTGTAGGCATTATGTGGTTCACACTGATGACAATTTGTTAAACGGCTATGATGTTAGTTTTATGAAACGCCATAACCAAACACGATATTTCTTAGAACGCGACCCGGTTTTGTTCCTATTGAAGATATTATTTACAAACTGCCTCTGCCAATAAAAAGTTTGCTAACATGATTTGTTTTAACATAGACTTTGATGAATTTGACTTTACTTTATATTAGTTCAATAAAGAGTTGTTAAGAAAATTGTCTATTTTCTTTTGTATATCATACTGTCCAGTTGGCCCACTTCCATGTTCCAGTTAACCTACTAGGTAGGTTACTGGTTAAAATTGCAGATTATTACGAAAATCATCCCCTATTTCTATAGATATTTATTGAACTTCAGAAACCGTATTAAATGGTTAGTCAAATAACAACGAAACACAGGATAAATATTGGCTTATTTTGAACCAGACACAAGTAAATATAATTTTTTTTTCAAAAGATGTCCAGTTAACCTCACTCTACCCTACCAAAAACAAAGTGCTTTTGATCTGAAAACCTTGGCTAATTTCTAAAAAAATTAGTTAACCTCTACTTACCGCCTGTTGGTTAGAATGTAGCTGACACTACTATTAAGTGTCGTACAAATTATATTAGCGCCCATGAGTAACGTTTCTTCTGTATTTCTGATGATATAATCATACTGCGCACCTAATTCTTGTTTAAAAAATGTATTTACATCCATCTGATGGGTAACATAAGAATACTTTTGGTGTAATTTGTGACTGGTCAATATATTTTTTTTCACAAACTCTCTTAGAGAATATTTCTTTGCCAATTCGTTCATGCTGGCTTCGGGACCTACCCTTATTAACTTAATATGTCTCCTATCATTATCTAAAAAATTAATTTTTGTAAAGTTAGAGAAGGAGAATTTTTCAAAAACTACATGCCTTAATACAGATATGGCATGAATTCAGAGTAATCTTTTTTAACAATCTGTTCAAGCTTTTTTAATAGGTGATCAAAGAAGGCCAAAACGGTTTTGTCAGCAGGAAAAATAATATGAAACTACACCACTAAGCTACAGAAACTTTTCCCTGTGGATACTAAAGAAAAACTTACCATTTAATTTGGCCCTGGCCTCAGAGAGCTTTTCAATTAATGCATTTATAGCAGCATTTGAAGGAGCTGTTACTAGTAGATTAGGAGATTCATTGCGTTGTACGGCTTTAAATATTATTTCGAATACTGTACTAACTATAACAGATGACTTCCCAGTACCTGGTGGGCCGTGTATTAAATAAATACCTGGTCTGTTACCTAACGCCAATTCGGATGCCTCAGCGCATGTTTGTTGTTGTACATAATTTAACGGAAACTAAAAAATACAAGAATTTGATGAGATCGTTCTGAAGCAGAAAGGTATACAGGATTTTTCCAGAGTAATTCCAGATATTTTTGTGGGTGATTTATAATTAGTTTACTTGTGTAGTCCCTATATAAAAAGTCGGTAACGTTTAAGTCCAATTCCTAACAAATTCTCTTTACTTCTTTTTTGAGATTCGTTTTTATTTTTTTTTATTTAATGTTTAATTTATGTTTTAGTCAGAATAGCGACTACAAATTAATACAGGAATATTTAGCAAATTAAAGTGATGAAATATGTATGTTCCATGTTTAACTAGTACACGTGACAATTCGTCCTCTTAGTAATAAATAAACGTATCTCGAATTTGACCGTTTTTGAGAAAAGTGAATGCTTGATTAAAAAATAACTACAGAGTTTTATTTAATAACAAAGCCACATATCTCAATATTTCTTAATTAGGAATCTAAACCTTGGTGTATCTATGCTATATAAAAAACATTTAGAAACAGATACACCTATCTGCAAATATGTTTACATATTTCTGCTATGAATCTCTTATGATTCGAAAAAAACAAACTTAACTCTTGGCAAACAATATTATTGGCATCTGGCAACACTGGTTACGTTAGTTTGTAAACTTACGACAACAGACACTTGTTTCAACGTGGTTTTTAGTTTAATTTCTGTATTTGGAATAATTAATTATTAATAGTAAGATGTCGAGAAATCCTAGAATAGCTAAGAAAGATTAAGGCTATATTAGCAAAAGCAGCATCCAAGGAACCAATTAAATACGTTACTACTGGTATAAGAAGTGAAGATATTTTTAATAATATTGGGAGTATAAAATCATAGTAACTAGTAACAATTATTCTAATATTACATATTTTTTATTTCAATATGTATCTACATATTATATAAAAGTAGGTTCTTATAAAATTTTAACTTCGGTAATATTATCAATTTAAGGTTACGTGTCTGACGTGTTTCTTGTAGTAAGATTCTGTCGCAACAGAATGCGGCGTTGCCGATTATAAATCTTTTATATGTTTCTGGAGACATATTTTTTTTCTTTTCAGAACATCCGAATGAAGACCTTGCAAATGAAGATTCGTCGGATTCTAACATTGCTTCTGGTGATGGCACCGATGGGAATTCTAAAACGTGTTTACATTTCATTACAACCTGGAAAAAGACGACAATCCATTCAAAAAACATTACGTGAGTAGTTCTATACTTCGTTCAATTTCAAGATAGGCTCGAGGTAAACAGTGTCAGACACGTGATCGGTGGGTGTGTCATATCATAGCAGCTTGTCATTGGTTAGAAATTAAGTGCTAACCAATAACAAGCTATGATAACAGAACACACCCATCGATCACGTGTCTGAAACTGTTTACATCGAGCTTATCTTGAAATTGAACGAAGTATAGTAAAGAAGAAGTTCCTTCAACGTCAATATTCCAGCCAATAACTGAATGATCTGGTTAATCGAACGATACACTTACAGATTAAGTTCCTGCTGTGTCTGTCGAACAAGAGGTGTTTCAACATCCTAATCCATCGATAGAAGAAACCTCTAACAAAACTCGAAACAAACGTCCTCTTCCCTCTTAATGGAAATAAAACATTAGAAAGTGTTTAGCACACAACAATCTGGAAAAACTTGTATTTAAATGAAGGATGTAGAAGTACATGCTCGCGCGTCAAACACAAAGATTGTACAAAGCGCCCCAGAAAATGTAGTCAATTTTTTTCGGAAGATCACAGAATAGAAATTCATAATTCAGAAAAACAAAGGCAATATATAACAAAGTTGGTTAAGGTGATGGCCAAAAAAGTCAAAACTACTGGCGAAAATTCAAGGCGAAACAACTCGCGGCAGTTTCTCCTGTTCAATGCTGGCCAAAAAGTGCAATTATGTCAAGGTTTCTTTCTTGCTACACTAGATATATCTGAAGGATTCGTGCGAAATATTTTAAATAACAGAAATGAGGCCCATATTGTTGTACCTAGCGGAAGAGGAAAGCACCAATTCGGTATTAGTAGACCGACTGAAGCCAAATAAATGATAAAAAATCATATACTATCATTTTCTAGCATGTCATCCTATTACTATCGAAAAAAAATATATAAATATTTGGCAGAAGAAATATCACTTTCAACAATGTACAATTTGTATGTTGATCGTTGCCATGAGCAAAATTGTATCCCAGGGAAATGGCACTATAGAAATTTTTTTTAATAATTTAAATTTTAAATTTCACAAACCACGCGAAGATATGTGTGATTCTTGCGTCAAATATAAAAATTGTAGCGTAGAAAAAAACCCTAGGTTATTCCCATTACACATGGATCATATTCGCTGTAAGATTGCATACAGTGCGCTGTAAGCACACAATTTTCATGATGATAATAAGTTGCTAGCAGAAACAACTTTGCACAAAGAAATTTGTGACATGAGGGTATTGCTGCAAAAGGCTCTAATGATATATCATCAAGTTTATACAAGTATTTGTCAGACCATGCTAATGGTAAAAAATTTGTCATCATAATTGATACTTGCGGTGGCCAAAACCGGAATGTCTTTTTAGCAGCGACTCTACTTTATGCCGTACATATTGGATATTCGTAAAATTGAACATGGTTATTTTGAACCAGGCCATTCAATGATGGAATGCGATTCGGTTTACGCCCATATTAAGCAATCAACTAAAAACTTAAATATATATCATCCTTCTGGGTGGTATGCAGCGGTCGGAATGGCATCAAAACAATCCAAATACAACGTAATAGAGATGAATCAAACTATGTTTTTTGATGCTGCAGCTTTGAAAAAAGAAATTATTAAAAACAAACAATTTGACACTGATGCTAACACTAACTAGCTGAAAATAACTGTATTAAAATATATTAAACATGATCTAAATCATATTTATTTCAAATATGATGACACCTGCCCTGAATTCAAAAGAATCAAACTCATACGACGGATGACAAGGGGAATTACCAATTATAATAATTTAGAACTTCAACAGGTATATACTCATCCTATGAAAGTGGTTGCTGAAAAATTGAAAGATTTAAAGTACCTTTGCGATCAAGGTGTAATACCACCTCAGTGTCACAGTGTCTACGAAGAGCTGAATAGTGGTATACACATGGTGACGCTGTATTCAGACACCTCAGACAAGGAATAAACATTTATTAATATTGTGCACAATTAATTTTTGTATCTATTTAGATGTATTTTTTAGTTTATGTATTTTTATAAATAAATAACACCAGTTTATTGCTTAACGTAACTTACTATAAGAAAAATCAAGTAATACACTAATAACACAAACGTATCTCAACATTAACACAAAAACATTTTTTTTACTATATCTAAAAATATTCAAGACTCCATTCGTTTACAGTTTTATGATCGTGAATAATGTATAAAAACTATTGTAGAGTAATAATTTATGAATATTTGAAATCAACAGTAATATCTCTTGTAAAACCAAACTAAAACGTGTTTATCGGTATTTTTCCATAATCAATAAAATCGAGATCATTTATTTGTTAGTAAGGGGACGAATAATTATTCTACTAGCGATCAGTAACACTAAACTTGATCATACATATATTTATTATCTAATATTGATAATAGTGTAGCGGTGACTATACCAAAGTAATGCACTATAATGTGGTTGATATTGAGTAAGAATGATGAATTAAGATAGATTACTAATAAGCAAAAGTTACACATATCTTACCTCTTCTCTTGTGATTCTGCCATGTATTGGCATTAATGTAGTTAATCTTTCTGGTTCCATGATATAGTTAACTAATGGACTTTGTTCTAAATATCTGAGAGTGCGAAATTGTCGCAAAATGCTGGCGATATTTACTATTACTTTCACAGTAAGTTTATCACCTACTAACGGTCCATTAGGTGCTTTTAGCACTATAGAAAACATCATTAGTTTATCTAAAAATTATGACATCATTTTAAACATTTTTTAGGCAATTATTTAAAAGATAAATAAAAAAGATAAAAACACGTTCAAAAATGCATTATTACTATTGAAGTCCGGTACCAAATTTGGCGATTACCATTCTGAAATTAATTTAACCAATCATATTAAATAGTTACAGAAAAAGCTGATTTCAAATATCTATATATAGTATATAATAACTCTCCTTATCATAACGTACAGGTTAATAAAATGGGCCAAATGATCGCCAATGTTCTTAAAGGATAAAGCACAAAGAAGAAGTCATGACAGCCTAAAATAGGAATTGTATAAGCTAATAAAATTTGATAAGATTCCATAGCCTTCTACTACAACATCACACTGTTTTACGCTTACTACCACATCACTCCGATTTAAACCCTATAGAACTCGTACGGGCATTACGATTATAAAAAATGACATCAGACAAGAGAATGCCATACAGTAGAAGCTCTATATTCGCGGGTATATGTTTCGTAAATATGCCAGGAATACAGAAACCGTGAATATGAAATGGTAATTTATATGGGGTAAGTTTTTGAATCGTACATAAAAATTAAGTAAAAGCTATACCTGTAAAAAGGCTGCTATACCGTCTTTGCTTCATTTCCATGTAAAATTTCATAAGAAAATGCTAAGGTTCGTTCTTCTCATTTTTTAAGCGTTTTGCGGTGGGGGTAGAATAGTTCTTCTGATTGTGACGTATGATAAGCATATAAAGGAGAGTGGGTAGTGAATATGTTGGGGCAAAAAGAAGCGTATGGTGCTTTAAATGAAACTGAAGGGTATAACGAATAATATATTAAGATAGAAATATAAACAAAGTCACTACGAAAAGAGCACCACATACACAGCGACATACGAGATATTATAGGGCACTATGGATAAAAAAATAGAGTTACGATAAGACTAATTTTGATTTAATAACTTAAAAAGAAGGCTTCAGACTGAGTACAAAATAAACAACCGATCGAATCCTATCATGCAACATAGCAAATTAAAGAGGAAGATATAACGAAAATATACAGGTAGAAAACACAAGCAAAGCTATTACCGAAAGGGCACTACACATAATTTTCTTTATTAATGAACGTATAGCGACATATCACATGATACTAACGATGCTAATAGACATATTTGCTTTATTGACCTGAAGAAGGCCTCTAAACTATTACAAAATAAATAAGTAGTTTAATCCTGAAAATATTACTCTATGTTCCACTAATTCCATTCCACATACATCTATGTTCCATTAATTCAAATTCGGGTACAATTCAGGATAATATACAACACCATTCAACAATTTTCACATACCCAATATCAAATGTATCAAAAATGCACGAGAAAATTCTTAACAATATTAACTTAAAAGTTGATTGTACTACAAATCAAAGTTTATTCCAGCTTGATACATTAATTTTAATACACCTTTATATATTCAAGCGATGAAGATACTTTTCGCTTCGCTATATGAGTCCGAATAAAATTAAAATGTGATTTTTTTATTTGAATCCACAATAACAAACAATTTAGCTTATTGACACAATTATAATATAATAACCTATACATTGATACACACATACGTGATTATAAGTGACAGAAGTGAGTATAAGTGATTAGTAATAGCAACACCAAGCAACTATTGACAACACTGTTCTATTTTCCCATTTAACCCATACTGAACGAAAAACCTGAGACGGACTATACACACAAAGATCAAAATTTATTATGAATAAGATGGTACAACATCACTTCTCAGAATTTTAATTAAAATATTGTTATTTGCCTACAATATCGAGTCTGTTAACGGGTAAGTCGAGGTAAGTCGCTACTGTCGAGGTAAGTCAACTGTCAAATTGGCTTACGATTAAATTTAATATTTTCTTAATTTATAAACTTTTTTGAAAACTATTTCCGCATTGGAAATCGAAATGTTAAAGCAAATGTAAACTGTAATTCCAATTACAATTGTGGTTTAATCTAATATGAAACAATATTTCACTTAAACATGCCATATGAAAACAGTTTCAGAATGTTCAGGTACTGCTGGCACTCGTCACATGCGCGAGGTTGGATCCTCCTATATGGCGTTTAAGATAATTCTTACTAGAAATACAGGTTATCCAGAACCTCTCCTGACAAACGAAGACCGGAGATTCCTCAGATAATTTTATGACAATTTAAGAGGACAGTCTCATGCGAAACTTTCAAAAAATCAAAAATTTTTTTTTACATAAATCGCTTCCATTTACATTCAAAAACTCCCTCCTAAAATTTTAAAAAGAAATTCCCACTAGAATATAAGTTATAGTTATTTTATTAACGTCAGATACACACGTATGAAAACCGGTTTCTTTCCGCGCGGCGAGCGCGAGGCTCCAGCTGTTCTTACTTTTGTATATATGTTGTATATACGTTGGGTATGTATTAGTGATTTATTTTTATATAGTATGTATATCTGTATAACGTTTGGCAGTTACTATACACATTTGGAATTTAAAATCCGGAACATAGGATTTTTTACAAATACTAAGATTCTCTGCGTTGCAATTAACCAGTGTAAATTTCTTTATAACGTCGCGATGTTTTATAAATAATTTATTTGTTCCACTGGATTACTATTACTTCTCCTCAGCGGTTTGTAGTAGCGTATATGGCACGCCGACAGTGTTGCTCCGTCTACCGATTTTTCCTGAAAGTCCGGTTTTGTGCAGATAATAAATAATGTTTTATTAACATCAATTTTGTTTGTGTTCATTAAGTATTATTTAAGTTATAAAATTTATACTTAAATACATTTATTATTCCAAATATTGTTTATAATTTCAAATTAAAAAGAGTGTAATATAATTATTTTTATTTTTAAAATTCATTTTTATTTTTAATTTTAGAAATCAACTTTTTTTCACGCCGTTTTGGCAATAAAACATAACCATTTTTTTAGTTATAAAATATTTTCATATCTACATTTATAAATAAGTAGATACGTTTTCGTTAAATTGACATGCGATCTAGGTGTGTTCCGTTTTTACACTTACACTGTCAGCATCGCGGCGTGAATTGAGACTCCAGTCGAACTAATGAATTAATTATAAAACATCAAATCAAAAAGAAAAAAGCTTTACAAAGCCATTTACAACAACTGTTGGATGAAGAGGGACCTCAATATTCACCAGGAATGGCCGATTAAACGTGAGTATAAAGTTATCAGCCTTTAATTCACGAAAATTATGTAAAAAAAACTTTAAATGCTTTTTTCTCAAAAGTAACATTTTTAAACTGGTCAGACACTTTTCTCCGAACCTTCTTAACCGATTTTAAAAAACCAAAAATTGTTCGAATGTATATACAAAAGACTAGATGATAAACCTTTAAAATATTTAAAAACCACCCCCCTTTTATTATATATGGGTAAATCCACCAAAAACAGCGATTTTTCGACTTTTTTGAAAAAACTTGTATAAACTCTTCAAAATAATACAATTTGCATATTTTAAAGGTTTATCCTCTAGTTTTGTGTCTCACGAATACAACCCATTTTGAATTTTTTGAATATCTGTTACAGGTGACCCACAAAGTGTCTTACCACCAAAAACGCACTTTTTACTACACGCCATCTACAGGACACCAATGAAGTTAAAATCGCTATTAAAAATTTTTTTATGTACTTCAAGACTTACTTAATCATCTCCAAAAGGAATTATTTTAATAAATATTACAGTTTTTTTTCTGCTTTAATTTTAAAATGTGTCTCTTTTTTTTTAATCGCATGAGACTGTCCCCTTAAATACCTCCAGAACGCTTATATTTAAATAAACGAAAACTACAACGATTATTTATGCTCCAAAATTGAATAGACTCCATCAATTGCCAATTTCTAGTACTGGTCATAAACGTCCATTTAAGATAGGTCATAGGTATTTTAACACATAACTTTTTTGTTTTTTACTTTTAAGCATTCGTGATACTAGATTATGTATTAGATTTTCAGGTATTCTAGTACAAAAAGCTATTCTTATTTTAAGTCTAAGCAACTTATACACTACTCCAAGAAATTAACGCACCATTTACAAAAACAAAAAAAAAGCGATTCATTGGTGTTTTAAATTTAATTGTATTCATTTTTGTATGCAATATACCATGTATTTGGAATATTTTTATCAGGTTACTTGTATTGTTTTTTTGTTTCAACCGGTTTCTAAGGAACACAAAACAAAGGTGCTGTAAATTTGCTGTAATGCCGATAAGAGGTTAGTGTCATTTTTCAGTCGTTGTGTGAACTATTGCTCTCTGGTGGTAACATTTTGCTATTGTTTTAATCAAAATGCAACGCGAATCGAGAAATTCGACTAATGATGAGTGGTTTTGCACGAAGAAGGTTGGAGTTACAGACATTTAGTGGAACGGTTCGGCATACACCATACATCGGTCTCACAAATGATGGAACGGTACAGAGAGACCGGTAGTCACTCTAGGCGTCCAGGACAAGGTCGACATCGTGTAACAACGTCCGTTGAAGACTGTTTTTTACGACTTCGCACTCTAAGACAACGATTTGTAACACCAGAAGCTTACAATCCCAACTTGAAGATGTTCATAATGTTCGAATCAGCTGTGAAACTTTTCGCCAACGTCTCAAGGAAGGTAATTTGTTAAATCGTATACCTGCCAGAGGGCCAGCCTTGTCCGTAGCTCATCGCAGAGCGCGTTTAGAATTTGCACAAAATCATATCCATTGCTTGGAGGCTGATTGGAATAGAGTCCTGTTTACAAATGAGAGCATATTCTGTCTTTACAATAATTGTGATTGGCGTATTCGCGTGTACCGACGTAAGAACGAACGGTATGCACAGTGTAACATGCGAGGAACGACGTTATTCGGTGGAGTGTTTCTTTAACGGGTTGTACAGACTTGGTGGTGTTGAGTAACGGTACCATCAACGCTCACCGATATATCGTTGACGTTCTTCAAGACCACGTCTATGCACAATAATGCAGGAGCACACTTTGCAAATATAGTGCAAAATTATCTAGAGGAAGTTGGAATCGACGTTATGGAATGGCCAGCGAATAGTGCCGAACTTAATCCTATAGAAAATGTTTGGGACTTGCTTAGTAGACGTCTACGGAATTTTCCTAATCAACCAAACACTCTGCAGGAACTGAAACAACGCCTTGTCCAAATTTGGAATGAACTTGATCAGAATACTTTAAGACTGTTTATTTTAAGTATGAATCGTCGATTCCAAGCTGTCATGCGTAGCAGGGGTGGAAATACGTCTTATTAAGCAAAAAAAATTGAACAATTTCTATTTTTAGAATTAGAGATTTTGTTGTTAATTGTTTTAAAATTGTGTTAAGTTTATGAATATTGAAGATGGTTAGCGACAACATCACTAAATATGTTTGTTTTACAAAGTAAAGTAACACGAAATAAAATCTTTTCATTTCAGTTAATATTTTATATTTTCCTGTTATATGGTAAGTTTTAAAGTGGTGCGTTTAATTTCTTGGAGCAGTGTAGTTGGCTTTGAACTGTCAACAGAAGTATAACCTACGTTTTTCATTGTCAAACTGTTGTCAGTTCGTGAAGTTTCTCTTTTAGTTTTTACTTTGTAGCATTTAAACACAACAAGTTAACAAAAATGGTGTTTATTAATGGGGAATACATCACATTGTGTTACTATCTACCTTTGATACTTGCTCTTTTGTGTTACTAGTAGTTTCGTTCCATCGTAATAAATACTCTGTTTTTAAAAACCTTTAAATAAAAATTTTGTTTCAAATTGATTTTTGCTTCTTTTCTCGAACTTTTTTACAAATTGTGTGCTGCATTTATTAAAACAAACTAATTAATAAAATTAATTAAGGTACCTATTAATTTAACTTTTATAAAGAAAAAACGAAAAATTTCAGAACGATTTTTCTGGAAAACGGCTTGTCCTACAGACTTAAAGACTACCATTTAGTACTAAAATACATGAAAATTTAATAAATGTAGTATTATAAATGTTAAAAAGTTAAAGACAAAAAAGTTATGTGTTAAAATAAACGTTGACCTACCCAAAACGGACGCCGACGTCCCGATTCAACTCTGGGGGATAATAAATCGGACCTTCTTCAAAGAGTTCTAGCTCCCTTTTCGGAAGCATTTTCGGACTAGGTGAATTGGGTTAAAGAGTCTTAAAATTATCTGAGGAATCTCCGATTTTCGTTTGTCAGGAGAGTTTCTGAACACCCTGTATAATATATACTTACCCCTATTATATGCATTTGTAATATATCCGAAATTATCCTTACTATGCCTTGAACCATTGATTGTTACAAAATATTGTACAAGACAGAAATCGTCAGGTCTGAAAAAAGTATCTTCGGCTAAAATATCAAATTATTAATTACAATACATCATTAAATATACTATTAAATCTTAAAAAAAATGTTTTAACAACATCAAACATAATCAGATCTCGAATTTAACCACATCGGTAGTGCTACACTGTAGAGGATGTATGCAGTATGGTGACACAAAGGCGCCTGAATAAGACGAAATGTTGAACATTATTCCTAAGAGACAATATCAGAGCAAAATTATCATCGGTGATCCTTTTAGCCAGTGTGACTAATTAACTTCTTCATGTTTTTCTATCTTAAGTCATAACAAATTAACGTATGAACTTCTGAGTCTTGCCTAACTATCTCCCATCTTCCTCACTACCTTTATGGGTAACGCGAATAATTGGCGACGTGCAAGTACTTGGAGGGGATTCGAAAAACGATCGTGCGCGAGTAGCGGAGAAATTTTGCATTTTTAGTGCACATTTCATAGATTTCATAAATTCATATTGTCATTTGTCATATTTTATATTCGTTTTGTTTATTTACATTTACACCTTCTGTCTCTGAAAAAAATGGGATTTAGGAAATGCTGTGTTATAAATTGTAAAAATGCAACAAAAAATTGTCAATTTAAGTTTTATTCGTTTCCAACTTCGAAGCACAAAGCTACTACAAAGAGAAAAGTGGATATATATAATAAAAAAGCATAAGTAACATAACCCAAATTATGCATTATTCTTGCGCCGATTTTAAAGTCAGTTTGAAATAAATAATAAATAAAAGTTCAATTTTAAGTGTAAATTTTAGTTTCATAACACTCACTTAAAGTTCATTTTAACCCAAAAATCAAGTTTAATGTTTAAATTTTATTTTTTTGAAGTTTACAAGATTGCATCAATTTCAAGTTTTTCTGAAGATGCATTAAGATATATTCGCTGTCCAAAAGTTTACAGGGAAAGAATTAATTGTTCAAACCAATATGATAATATCATGGGCTTAACCTGCTAATTTATGCATTAGCATTATTTATGGTAATTTATTTTTCTTAATTCTTCCATTATTTTTTGACATTTGCCACTACTAAAGCTTTTTCCTTTGACTCAGTGCTTGGTTGGAAAGTTATTTGGTGATTCACTTTCTCAAATCCAGTTTTTATTATTGAATCCATATTAACAGTAATGCTGTAATTCAATAATATATTTATTTGTATTTACGCTACATCAACGTTTACCTTTTAATAACATACCGACATAGCCTCAATCTTACTTTTTCTTCTTATTCTTTTTTGGGGCCACGTCCGTGACAGTTATCCGGTTACCTCGATCTAACATAAAAGCGCAGTAAATTTTGCTGATTTACGACACCAGCTGTCGCTGTTCCGAACTTGCACGGTCCCAATAGGAAGTCACGTCTATATTCGCTCTTGAATTGATAATGTCTGAACATTAAGAAATAACGGCTCTCCTCTGGACCAATACTCCTTGCCAAAAACGACGTTGTGCGGAATTCTGTAAAAACACGAAATGTGAGGTATGGTGCGCCGAAGAAAACCTCAGAGATCTAAATGCAGCGAGACGGAACATCTTAGATATAAGGCTGATTACGAAGATACCACAGTATAGAGATTATAACCATTAGGATTGAAACATGTACTATAACCTCAGTATATAAACACCCAAACCAGCCTCTTATACTTTCAGCCCCAACATATCTTCCCAATCAGCTTATACTGAGAGACTTTAACATTCACAGTTTACTTTTGGATTACGCATATTCGCACGCAGTAGAAGCATGAGCTTAAACTAGCGATTTCTCATTAATACATAATCCCAAACTTCCGGCATCCTTTCAGAATAGTTTGGAAAAGATGATATAACCCGGATATCTAGTTTTCAAGTACTCAACTCAAAAATCAATGTTACATTCACGCTACGTAGAGAAACATGCCCCCCTGTATATATTAATAATTGTCTAATTCCTCAATCCGAGTACGCTAAATATCTTGGCATGCACTTGGATCGCCCTAACTTGGAAAAAATATTTTTAACAAACGAAAACAGCTTGAACAGCTTGAGAAACATGTATTGGGTCATTGGACGCAATTCAAAACTATCTTTGGATAACAAAATTTTACTCTACAAGTCCATCCTCAAACGCATATGGACTTATGGGATTCAGCTATGGGGCACTGCTAGCGCCTCCAATACAAACATCTTACAGTGATTGCAAAACAAGGTGCTGCGTGCGATAGTCAAGCGCCATACTATGTATCCAACGAGGTGATTCAACACGACATTCGCTTAGAATCCGAGAAAGAAGTCATACAACGTTTTAGTGTTAAATACTGTGAACGAGTGCTAGTGCATCCTAATGTATTTGTTCGACAACTAAATGTGTGGAATGTCTTTGAAGTGTGTAGACTAAAGGCAATTGCCGCCCGACTTGTCCAACTGAACATAATAAGTGTATTCAAACTAATACAATTTTAATTTTAAAATTGCAAAGAGATTACTCACTGGAGTAACTCCCTACATGTCTGCATGTTTTACCGTACCAAATGGTTAATGCCCAATGGGCAGATTGTTGTACTCAATGGAGTTAAAAAATATATCTTCACAATCAGCTTATACTGGGAGACTTTAACATTCACACTTTACTTTTGGATTACGCATATTCGCACGCAGTAGAAGCATGAGCTTAAACTAGCGATTTCTCATTAATACATAATCCCAAACTTCCGGCATCCTTTCAGAATAGTTTGGAAAAGATGATATAACCCGGATATCTAGTTTTCAAGTACTCAACTCAAAGATCATGTACCAAAGTAGTATATGGCCCCAAACCAAAAATTCAACAAAGAAAAATTGGTATAAACATATTTCCATTTGCCAGACCACAGGCTATCCCATTAAGAAGATTTAACTTCAAGAAGGCAAACTGGGAAAAGTATGCCGACGTGCTAGAATCTGAGCTGCTAAACCTTGTACCAAAACCAGACATATTGTTCTGAAGCTATTTTCTTGGGGCATTTTAAATGAATTACTATTTTACTGGGAATAAGCCACATTTAAAGGTTAAAATACGTTTATTGACGTTTCAATTTCCACTTCGGAAATCGTTCTCGATTTCTTAGGAGAACGATTTCCGAAGTGGAAATTGAAATGTCAATAAACGTGTTTTAAGCTTTAATTGTGGCTTATTCCCAGTAAAATAGTAATCAAAAACAGAAAACTGCGAAAGATTTGTAGAATTAATAAAAAAATGTGTCTATTTAAAAAAAAAATAGGAAAGTTATCTCCAGAGGATCTAGACAACAATACGTTCTCGAGATGTTCAGCGAGCCCAAAAAACTAATGAAAACATACGAAATCCTCTATGATGGCCTTTTAGTCAAGGCCCTTCTTTTAAACTAGAAAGAAACTGAAAACCCTGGAAAAATGGACATGACAAATAGTAGCCAAAGTAGCGTGGAACCTTGTTAAAACACTTGTTTTGTGGTGATTCTAAGGAACATAAACCACCTTGCAAGCTTACAACAAAACAAGTCGTTACTCAACATATTGTGGATGGAAGAACTAACAACCGATATAAAGACCCAAAAAGTAAAAGGAGACTGAATCAGGAGATACACCACCTAGGAACTCATTTACACTAAAAAACTGCGCGATAGTATGAACAGGCTAAAAACGGGAAAGCTGCAGGTGTTGATGATATATGCAGTAAACAAATAAAGCAGCTAGACCAAGGAAAAAAATGGATGTTGCAGCTCTATAAGACGTGCTCTATAGCTTGCGAAATTCCACAATCATGGAGAAAATCTTAAATAATAGTCTTGTTAAAACCAGGAAAGGACTCAGAAAATCCCAGTAACTAGACATATTTCTCTGTTGTTTCACTTTTACCAACTATACGACAGGCTAATCATGGCGACAATAGAAAAAAATGTTGATTACCATCTCAACACATTGAAAAGGGCTTTGGAGAAAAACTTATAACGGAAGACTGCTTTCGTAGATCTGGCAGCAGCTTATGGCACAGAAATGGCACAGGACAATTCTATACAAATTGTACTATACTCTCAATGAACACCATTTAGTTACGGTCGTGCAATCTTTGCTGACAAATAGACGTTTTTTCGTCAAGCTATGGGGTAAAGTAAACAAGAGGAGAGTTTAAAAGAACGGCCTCTCACAGGGAAACCAAGCACTTCCTCTATGCTGACGATCTTGAAATATGTACTCAAGAAAAAAGTGTTGAAGAAGTAGAAGAAAAACTTGAAACTGTCTTAAGCATAATGCGTACTATCTGCAGGATTCCCTGAGACCTAATTCTTCTAAAACTTAAGTCTATGCGTTCCACAGCATAGTCGGGAAGCTAACGGGAAGTAAATTTGGTGCACGTCCTGACATCTTAAGACGGTACAGGTACTGTGTTTGCAACTGCTGAATATGTGTGCCCCATTTGGAACAGATTTGCCCAGGATAGTAAAGAGATGCATGTAGCCTACGCCACTCTCAAAGCTATATAGAGCAGCGAGTTTTGAAGATCCATCAATACGAAGAAACGAAGCAAAGCACAGAGAGAAAATTAAACAAATCGCAGACTAACTTGCTCTACACAGAGCTCTAAAACCACGCAAGCGACTTAAATTTAGGAAAAGCTTCCTTGGAACAGTGTAGGATGAATCGCACGAAAATTTTCATCTTCCCCAGGTTCAATGGACTGGCCAATCTCTAGCCGAGGAAAAATATGAATAAGAACGTAGGTCGCTTCAGTAAAATCAAATATAGCAAAATGAGGGAAAATAGAGCAAGACGATGTAAACTGTGACTGTAGGAAAATACAAGGTGTATCCTCGAAGAGTTGTGGTTCGCCAACAAAGATAGAACCGACGTAGCCGGATATTGGGCAGAAATTATCTGAATGATCTATTCGGATATGATGTAAAGTAAGTATTGAGCTTAGGAATATTTTGACACTGTCAAAAGTCACTGTCGGAAATACACAACATAAAAATTCCTACGAAATTATTAATAGCCGAAATAAACTTACTGTTGCAGACTTCTTTAATTGAGAACAGAAGAATAATCATAAGTTTATAGTCATTAATTTTGATTAAAAACTTTCCATTTATACTACATATAATATTTTTAGTTTTAAGTTGGTTATGAGCACATGTGCTTGGTTGTATAGCAAACTTATGATGATTACATATTCTTGTTATATCAAGAATATTTCAAAAATTACGTCGTTATCTATGTTGACACCAGAACAGTTCTCTTTTTAATTACTATTTTAATTTTAATTCTCTTTTTACTTGTATAATTCAGCTAAGTTCTTATATGATAATTTGAGCATGTTGATTCCACTAGTTCTGAGACTGTAGTATTTGGATAAGTGTTTCACATCATACCTTATCGAATACCTTTTCAAAGTAAAAACATTAAATGCTCAGGAGTGCTCAGAATACCCACGACGACTAAAACGACTGTGGAAGTAATGTGAAGGCTGAAAATAGATATCTTGGGTATAACTGAAACCAGAAGGACAAACAGTGGAAAAATCAAAAAAACAAATTGTACTTTTTACCAATTTGGAAACGACGATCCCAGCCACTATACTGGTGTTGGTCTTACGCTAGATCCTAAACAGCTCGCTGGGTCCTCAATTTTGTACCACTTTATGATATCAATATAAGGTTGAATGTTCGAATAATTAAACTTTGAGGGTATACAAGGCAACTATCGAACACGGTGATTAATTTAATCTTGCCCAAGTACTTTCAATCAATAGATCATCTTCAGGGGCATTTCGTCAATTGTGGACTATCCGACATAGTAGAATGTCATAAATTTAAAACTGGACATAACAATACAAAATACACTACACTAAGACAAACAAACACTTTAAAATTTATATGGCGAAGCTACATATTGTGAAGAAGCCGGAGACAGAATCATTCTGTCTCCGCTTCTTCACAATATGTAGCTTCGCCATATAAATTTTAAAGTGTTTGTTTGTCTTAGTGTAGTGTATTTTGTATTGTTATGTCCAGTTTTAAATTTATGACATTCTACTATGTCGGATAGTCCACAATTGACGAAATGCCCCTGAAGATGATCTATTGATTGAAAGTACTTGGGCAAGATTAAATTAATCACCGTGTTCGATAGTTGCCTTGTATACCCTCAAACTTTATGATATGATAACATTAATAAAAATCAAGCAACACCGAAGAATCTAAATATTATTCAAGTCTATACTGTATCTAAGATAAGGTATCGCCATGTGTCAGGTCTCTACATGACTCATAGCGAGAATGATCGATGGATAAACGGATATTTGAATGGAAATCACCTGAAGACAAACTAATCGTCGGTCGTGTATACAATCATCGACGATAGATCGATGACATAGAAAAAATATGAATAAAAATTGAATGATAGTGGAACATGATAGATCAAATTGAAAACAGTAGGAGAGTTCTATGTTCAGCAGTAAATGTTCGAGGCTGAATGATAAAATTAAAGGTTGATTGCTGTAGTTTGTTCAGTGTTATTTAATGTATAATATGATGTTTCCCTATAAATTTTATTTTACTGACAATATGGTGTACATAAATCAAGTTAATTCTAAAATTACCAAAATATCACGATTACATTTTCGACTATGTGATACTATGTGAACGAATATGAATGCTTGTGCGTTATTGATTTGCAAAGGGCATAAGAAAAAAAATATGTTAAATTACTATTATAGCAATAGCGATAATAACAAAACAAAGATACTTACATACGCAATCATAAGTCACTGTCTTCTCACTTCTTCTGGTATGTTGTACACGAACTTTTGATATAATTTGTCTACAAAGTATACTCAAAATTAGATTACTAAATAAAAATTCATCCTTAAAACAAGTGAAACGAGACTGCACAAAATATTCATAAATAAAGAACCAAAGGTGATTCCGTGCTAATAAATATATTAGAAAGAACAGAAAATTGGCTTACTTCGGACACTTCTCTTCTTGTGGTGCCTATCCGTTACGGATGTTGGCTACTAGCATGGCAATTCTAACTTTATTGACCGCAGCTCGAAATAGTCCTGAAGTGGTCAAGGAAAACCATTTTCATAAGTTCTGGAGCCAAGATATTCTTCTTCTTCCTGGTCCCCTCTTTCCGTAGACCATTCCGTGTAATATAAGTTGTAGCAGGTTATATCTATGATCGTTTCGCATTATATGTCCAAGATATTCTAGCTTGCGCTGTTTCACTGTGGATATAATTTTTCACATGTTTTATCAATCCGACGTAGAACCTCAATGTTTCGTCTGCATATCTGATGTTATTCAGGCGCTCACAATTTATGAGAATACCCTCTTTGATATGCACTAAGGCCTGGCTCATGACATGTTCCAAATAGACGTTAAATAATATGGGAGAGAGTATGCAGCCCTGTCGTACTCCTCTCTCTATTGCAACTTTCTGTGTTAGTTGGTCTTTTACCCTTATGGTTGCTGATTGGTTGTAGTATATGTTCTTGATTACTCGAAGGTCTTTGTTATCCAGATCAGTTGCCTTTAGTATATCCATGAGTTTATCGTGCTTGATTCTGTCGAAAGCTTTCTGGTAGTCGATAAAGCATACATAAATATCGCAGTTGACGTCTCTGCACCTTTGAAATAATACCTGAACTGCGAACAAGGCTTCTCTTGTACCTAAAGCATCCCTGAATCCAAACTGCGTTCGTGAGATCTGTGGCTCGAATTTCTGATAAACTCTTCTGTGTATTATCTTTAGGAAGGTCTTAAGAATGTGACTGATAATACGATGCGACTGATATGTCTTAAGAATGTGACTGATATTGTCGTAAGCCATTTTACTCCTTCGTCTCCCATGATTTTTAAAAATTCCGAATGAAAGTTGTCGGGCCCTGGTGCTTTACCTGCTTTGGTTGCTTTAATTGCGACTTTGACTTCGTCCTGAGTGATTGGTGGTCCTGTGTCGTATTCCATAATTATCTAGTTGTTATCTCTATCATCATCGAATGTCTTCTAAACGTATCTCTTCCATATATTCTTTGTTTGTTTAATGTCTATTACCGGGTAACCATGATCATCAGTCATATGTCCTGATCTCTTGGGTTTGTACATTCCTGCTGCCTCTTTTACCTTCTTGTGGAGATAAAACACTTTGTGACTTCGGCCACGTCATGCGTAATAATAAATACCGACTTCTACAAAGCAAGATTGAGGGTAAGAGAGGCCCTGGACGTAGACGTATATCCTGACTGGCCAATTTTAGGAAGTAGACTAGTCTAACGTCAACTGATCTATTTCGAGCTGCTGTGAATAGAATAAGATGGTTCAATGTTAGTGATTGCCAACATCTCTAGAAGATAGGCACATTTAGAGGAAGAATAAATATAAAATAGGAATAGACATAAACATACTGTGCGCGCTAGCGCAGAGCAGATTTCAAATTACGGCATATAGTGCTCAGTTGATCGAGAACCGCTTAGCTGGTTATGTAAATAGTTTAACTGTAGAAGTGATTCACGACGTTGACGAGTAAAATCTCAATTTTTGTAATTGTTCATTTAATCCAAAAAAATGTATCAACTGCATAAAGTGAAGCGATCAATTTTGAATGCTCAAGCTCGTAAAATAATACGCTTAGTGTTAAAATTCGCTAAAGAGAAGCAGCTGCTGATAAACCTATTATTAACTTTAAAAGTGCAAGAGCGCGTGGCTAGTATAAGAGGTAATTTGATAAATATTCTAATAAAAAAAATAGTGAATAATTTGAAATTTTTTGGTTGCATTTTCAGGAGTTTCTCTGTGTAGGATCAAAAATATATGAAAGGGGGGCCGCGAAATTGAAGCGGGAAATATATACAGCTTTGTAGCTTTTTTACAAAGTTTTTATACAATGATCACAAAGAAAAATCGATTTAATAGATTTCGCATAATAATTTTGCAATCTATTTTTTTTTAATTGAAACTTTAAAATCTTGCACAACAAAAACTAGACCATATATAATTTTTCCATTTCTTTTAGATATAAAAAAGCACTTCACCTTTCTAACGTATTTTAGATAATTAAAAGAGGATTATTTTGGATGCTTCAGGAATGCTTTAAATTTATAAACAATTTTTGGCTTATAAACAAGTAGACTATCTCGATAACTATTAGTTTAAGTTAAATTGAGAAAATGGCGATGGAAAATACTCGGTAAGACACTTTTTTTAAAGAAAAATGTTTAATTACGAGCAGTGGTTCATGAGATAAAATCGGTTAAAATTGACAGGCATTTGCAACGAAGTTATAAACAATATGATGGTATTCTTTGAACCATTACCTTTTTTTTTTCGGAGCTTTCTCGATAAATATTTCCATATCTTCAATATATTCTTACATATATTATAATAATAAAACGATCGATACCGCGAGTGAGAAATACAACAAATTATCAATAAATTATTATATTTGCTCTCAACGCCATCTGCTAGTGTATCAACAATGTTACGCTGTATATTTGGCCTGCATTATTAAAAAGCATTCGTTGTTTACTTCTGACAGACCCGTCAAAGTCGAAATAAATAGTAAATTAATAATAAAATATAAACAAGTATCATTTGATAGTCAATTTGGCACTGACAAGTGAATGACAACTACTGTTAGTTGTCAAAATGTATTTTTTTTTTTTTTCGAACAAAGCGTTTAACTTTTTTTTTGAGGTAGCTGGAGGGCTAATGTTTTTTTTTATGTATTTGATCAAAAACTATAACTCTGATTTTTTTCAGATTTTCCGTGTGGTGCGCCATCTTAAAAAATTCGAAAAACTGTTTTTTTTTTTCGGGGTTTTTGGGGATTATATCCACTTTTACAGATATTGAAATTAATCAAATCAAGGTTTTTTTATAAGTTATATATAATTTCAAGTGGACGAGGACATTGACGATGAAAGAGAGAAAGATAACATCCCAACAGAGGTAGAAGTCGTCCATGCTCTATAGAAATTTAAAGAAAACAAAGCTCCTAGGGCAGATGGCATTCCCTCAGAACTTTTAAAGTATGGCAAAAAACTTGACATACTGTATATGCAGACTGGTAGAACTGATCTGGAAGCAAATAAAGTTGCCAGAAGACTGGAATGTAGGTATAATTGTATTTATCCACAAGAAAGCAGATCAAACAATATGTGACAAATACAGAGGAATAGCCCTCCTAAACGTAACATACAAAATATTGGCATATATTCTTTACGACCGACTATCGTGATATTGTGAAGACATAATAGGTAAATATCAGTGTGGGTTTCGTAAAGAAAGATCAACGACCGATAAAATATTACTTCTAAGGCAAGCTCTGGAAAAAACATACGAGTATGGCATTGATACTCATTATCTGTTTGTTGATTTTAGATGTGCCTATGATAGTGTTGAAAGAAATGCACTGTACAAGGCCATGATAGAATTCAGCATACCAGTATACTTGGTAAAATTGGTGAAAGCGACCCTCCCAAGAGTCAAGTGTAAAGCTAGAGTGCAGAACGAAGTTTCCAGAACGTCCAGTCTCAGATAGGACTTAGACAAGGAGACAGTCTATCATGCCTTCTATTCAATATTGCACTAGAGAAAGCGATAAGAGAATCTGGAATAACAACTAGAGGAACTACTATTAATCGCAGCGTACAATTACTAGCGTAAGCCGATGACGTCGACATTATTGCAAGAAGAAAGACGGACGTGGACGAATCATTCAAGGTGCTTAATGCAGCAACAAACAGAATAATGAGACTAAAGGTTAACACTAGTAAGACGAAGTATATAAAAGTATCAAATTATATACAAGCAGCACAACCCGAAGATCTAACGATCGGAACATATACTTTCGAAGGAGTAAAAGAGTTTATATACCTAGGCTCACAAATTAATCAGAGTAATGCAGTAAGTGCAAAAATTAGCAGGCGGATATATCTGGCAAATAAAGTCTATTATGGATGTTAACCATAATGCCGTTGTGGCTAAAATGTTGGGAGTACGAAACTGGAAAACCAAGGCGCAAAATAGGAGAGAATGGAGACTTATCCTTGAGTAAGCCAAGACCCACCATGGGTTGTGGAGCCAATGATGATGATGTAGAATTATTAGGAAATAGTGAAAGCGATTTAGAACAAAAACTGGGAAAGTGGAGACAAGCTCTTGAGGAAAAAGAGTAGAACAAAATTATTTGGAATGTTCATTTAAAGAGAGAGTTCCTAGAAATAAAAGAATATCTTTGGATGGTGAAATGTTTGTGAAAAGTAATATTTTTAAGTACCTAGGGTTCGTATTACAGAGAAATGAATTAAAAATGAAAAAAATATTTTTTTTTCATTTACACAATAAAGCTCAGAAAGTGGGGATATACCAGACAACATAATCATTTTAATGGGTAATGCCTAATTCTAGAATTAAAGCAATATATGTTACCAAGAAGAAAATGAATTAATCGATCACTTACTTTTCCTCATCTTTCCAAAATGTGCTTTGAAAAATAAACTGCCAAGCTTCTAATAGTATACACGGTTTCATTACATCTAGGTAATGTTGAATATTACGAAATGTTGAAGGTATCCTAATTGCGGGTTTATTATTAGTTACGGGGGGACTTTTCACTCCTTTGCTTTGTTCCAGAAGCCAGGTTACGTTCCAATACAGCATAACGTTAATGTCGTCGCTCAAGTCATAGTGTCTTCGGACATTCGTTGGAATAGCCATTGAAGCATTACGATTCGATATTTGATAGATCAGGCCAACCTTCTCTTTTTCTGGCAGAGTAATATTCTGTGTTACTGGTGTCAAACGATTGTTAACGTTATTATTTTGTACTTTTGTTTCAACAGGTTTATGCATAGTAGTATTATTAACTGGCTTAGATTCAAGTTTATTCAGTCTAGGATCCTTAGATTTAGAAACATTAGTCGATGAAGATACACTGTTAGGTTGTATAAGAAATGAACCTCTACTTTCTGATAATTTTACTTTTGCAATTCCTTTGGTGGATTTTGGTGAAGGAGTTTTTTTTTCAGCCTTATCTGCAATCTCACGCAATTTTTGTTTTCTCATTTCTGCAATTTCTAAGGATGTATTATTATTAACTTTTTTGAAGGGTTCTTGATTACTGTCATCTAAAGATTTTCTTTTCAGATTTTTTTTTCTATTTCTTGGGCTTTCTCGCTCCTGATTACTATCAACTAAGGATTTTCTATCAAGTTTTTTATTTCTATTTCTTGGGCTTTCTACAAAGTGAGGCTCAACCAAGGAAGGTTTAATTTGTTTTGGTGCAGCAATTTTTTCCAAAACAACCCGAAGTTTCTTGTCACTTTGTTGTTCGTCCCGTTTGCTTGTGTACACTCGTCCAGAACAGATTCTAAAGCGTTTGACGTTTGTACTTCATCTAGAGTATCATCAATCTTTATTACCTGCTCCTTTGGCACAGGAAGACTTGCCAAGACAACACGAAGTTCCTTCTCACATTGATCAAAAATATTTTGTCAATATTTTCATCAGATTTATTTAAAATATTTTGCTCAATCTTTTTATCTGTTACAGGTTCCTTACTATTTGCTGTTTCTGATTCCTAAAACACCACAAATAACTATATAAAGCGCCTTAAATTGAATATAAATTGCATAAAATACATAAACATAAAAACTAACATGTCAATATATCATTATTACACTTTCTCTTAGTAAATAATAAAATGGTTGTAGTTAATCATATATATCATACACAAATTAGTTAATACACGTGAATTTGCTAACGCATTCTTATCTCTATAAAGAATAGGGAATTTTGTAATCATTACAACGTATATGTGCAACGCATCTCTCGTCAGTCCTGACTCTCCGGAGGCATCTAAACCAGCCGTATTCAAACTGTGGTACGTGTACCACTGGTGCGCAAAGCACTTAAAGGTGATACTCTATAAACTAGAAGAAACGAAGAACTTTAATAAAATTTACTAACAAATGTTATCTTCTACGTTGTGCATGGCAACGCTGTGAGTTTAAAACCACAAGCGCGTAATCTCTTATTCATTATTGGCAACACTGGAAACGCGGCAAATTGGCACCGCCCTCGATTCACGTCATCAGTTTCCTCGTGGCCGTAAGTCGTTGTGGATGGTTTTGTCGACAAAAAGTTCTTTCAAAAAACTAAAAGTGGCGGTTAGGAAATATGATCAGGAAAAATGACAGGCCAAGGCCCTAATGTATTCTGTTCGGAAATTCTGTTTAACCAGTGTATGAAACTTTCGCTATTAAAATGCCACTTCAATACAAAACATTCAGTGTTGGAAAATAAACCTAAGGATTACTTCGTTCGGAAGTTAACGGAGATGAGAGGCACAAAAAATTAATGTCGAATTTCACCGGCAGCAACCAAAAAGCAGTAGAGGCATCCTCGTGAGTTTAAGAATTGCGAAGTGTGGAAAAGCACATACCATCGGTGAAGAACTAGTTCTGCCTGCCTCACAAGATATGGTGACGTGTATTTTTGGGGAGAATTCAGGTAAACGGCTTAGTATTATACTATAATCCAATGATATCGTACTTCGTAGGATTGAAATAATGGCATTAAATGTTAAAGAAAAATTGGCAAACCGGATAAAAATAGTATTTTTTTGCAATACAACTTGATGAGAGTACAGATGTGACAAACTATGCTCACCTTATAGTTTATGTGCGATATATATTTCAAACCAAAATCGAAGAAGAGTACTTATTTTGTCAGCCGTTAACGGAACGAACTACTGCCGATGAAATATTCAAAAAAATCAATGATTTTTTTGTGGAAAATGAACTAGACTGGAAACAATGCGTTGGTTTCTGTTCGGATGGTGCCCGAGCCATGACAGGAAAATACGGAGGTGTAACTGCCAAAGTAAAACTGGTTGCAGAAAATGGTACTTTTACCCATTTTAGTATTCATAGAGAAGCTTTGGTAGGAAAGCGAATGCCAGATGAATTTAAACATGTTCTCCATGAAGCCGTTCAGATAGTCAATTTCATCAAATCTCGAGCCTTAAACCCGCGTTTATTTTCAAAACTATGCTCTGAAATGGGAAGTGATCATATTCAGTTATTGCTACACAAAAATGTTAAACAGGTTATTCGAGTTGCGTTCTAAAGTACATGTGTTTTTAATGAAAACCAATTTTGAACTGAGTGATCGGTTACTAGATGAATTGTGACTCACAAGACTAGCTTACTTAACAGACATATTTAATCGATTAAATGACCTAAACTTAAGCTTCCAAGGTAAATCACATAATTGATTTTCTGCAAACGACAAAATAAATGCTTTTATCAAGAAATGTTATATGATGAAAAATAGTGTTTCAAACAAAGACTTGCAGTCGTTTACCAATTTAGAAAATTTTGTGGTTGAGCATGAAATGCAGATTAAAGATGATCTTATTTTTAACATAAAACAGCATTGTCAAATGCTGTTTGATAGTTTTAAAGAATATTTTGACGACGACTATGCTTAGTTTCTTTGGATATGACAACCATTTATTTTGGATAGAATTCCTGAAACATTAAAACATGATGAACGGCGAGTGTTTGACGAGGTGTCAAACACATATATGGAATGTTACTTTGGTGCGAAATTCATATATATGGAATGGTATATATTAGCGAGGCATTATTCCTTTCTTTTACTATTTATAAAGGTTTCACTTTCGTGGCATTTTTAATGACATTAGCTCTACTGTCTTGGAAGAATATTATAAGAGACAGCTTCGAAAATTTGCAACTAGTAGAGATGCAGCATCAAGATTAAATTTCAATTAAATTCAAGATTGAAAGACAATTAGAAAAAAATTAATATTTACAACAGAAACATAATTAAATTATCTAAAAAGTTATACAAATTTCCTATTGGGCAACCTAATAGTGGGCTTAGTAGTATTGACGAAGTTGATATAGCAACAGGATTTTGCAACTGCGAAATTAGAACATTCGGTGCATTTTGCATGCATTAAGCTGCGACCAAACTTTTTATTATATCTCTTTGCAACGTTCCAGCTACTAATCCTGAAGATCGATATGAAGTAGATAAATTACCTTTTGGCGAAAAAGTTCAACCTTTGATATTTTATAGCGGGTTTTCAGGATTCAGTTAAAGTATTACTGGACATTATATTAATACCAGCAATGATAACATTGATGAAAATAATCAGATAAGATATTCTTTTAAACAAAATGAAACAGCTGAACAACAAGAATTTTCTCTTGTAGATTTTATTAATATGCTACAAGATACAAATGTTACATTTGGACCTTATTCATCAAGTGCACGAAATATTATCCCATATTAAAAATAAAGTAGAAGACATCTTTCATTTCATTTCTACGAAAACATAACAACAGCTATGGAAGAAAATAAATCAAAATTAATGCTAATAATCGAGGACTTCAATGCCAAAATTGGAGAACAACTATATAAAGAATAAGACAAATTAGGACCCCATGGATACGGCAAAAGAAATGATAGAGGACACACATTGATGAATTACTTGGAGGAGAAGCAACTATATGCAATGAATACTTTCTTTAAGAAAAACTCCCAAAGAAAATGGACATGAATTAGTCCCAATGGTGATACTAAAAATGAAATTGATTATATTGTTGCAACGCAAAAATCCATGGTAAAAGATGTAACAGCCCTAAATCGCTTCTCAACTGGTAGCGACCATAGACTAGTCCGAGCCAAGCTGATCATTGATAGTAGATTTAAAACAAGAAAGAAAATGGAAAATAATCAGAAATTAGACATGAAAAAACTAAAACAAGAAAAACAGACGTACGAAGAGAGAATAAAGGAAATATTGCCGACCAAGGAAGATATAGAACACAAACATACCGATGAAATAAACTTGATATTTACTGAAACTCTAATGAAAGTGGGTAAAGATATAGCACAGACAACAACAAAAAACGAAAATTTCATATCCCAGGAAACAAAGATTCTTATGAACACAAGAAGAACATTACTAGAACAAGGGGACAGAAATAAAATGGAATACAAAGAAATAAACAAAACTATTAGAAAAAATATCAAGTAGTGTAAACGGAGAGTGCAGGAAGAAAAGATAGAGAAAACAATTGAAAAAAAAAATAAAAACATGAAGTGCTTAAAGCAGAACCTAGGAAACATACAAATTAATAACATAAAGAACGAACAAGGAGTGGAGACCAACAATATAAAATTTTACAGATAACGCACGAATATTATACAAATATCTATAAAACAGAACAAAAACCAACCCAAGAAAGTTCAGTTACAACTGAAAATAAAGAAAGTTAACTCTGACCTACAACAGAAATCAGTAAAAATGGAATAAAAAAGGCACTCAAAGAAATGAAGAATAACAAATCTCCTGGGAAAGATGGAATAACTGTGGAAATGCTAAAAAATGGGGGGGGGGGGGAACTACAGTGGAAGTCCTTTATGTACTAATGAATAAAATATTAAACACAAAACAAATACCCACCATCGAGGCAATAACACTATTACTATTTAAGAAAGGCGATAGAAAAGATCTGAAAAACTATAGGCCCATAACGCCACTTAATGTAATGTACAAACTGTTAACTAAACTACTAACAAACAGATTAACAACTAAGTTAGATAATTACCAGTCAAGAGAGCAAGCCGGTTTTGGAAAAGGATTCAGTACAAGCGAGCATCTGCTTACGATAAAAATATTAATTGAAAAGGCCAACGAATATTAAATCTCAATATCGCATTTGTAGACTTTGAAAAAACATTCGATAAGGTGGAACATTGAGCAGTAAAGAACTCTTTACAAAATAGGAGAATAGACTATAGATATACGGACTTTACCGTAGTATGGAATGTATGGAAGTATGGAATAACTTTTTAACGCTTTGAGCGCTCACAATATTGTAAACAGCAGATGTAGTTAGCCTTTTTTTCTTGATTTTTTTTCACATGTGTCCCAAATTTCCTTCAACGCCTAAAGTTATGATGTTCGTCAATTACAATTTACCCGACGTATCAGCAAGATAAGTAATGACCATCATAGCGACTCCAGTTCAATATTTAATTCAATATTAAACTTATGATTAAGGACAAAAACTGAGAAGACCATATGCTTCGAAGAATAACCAATTGGACTCCACTGTGGTCTAGAGAAAGAGAAAGAGCGAAAAAAGTGGACACTTGGTGTTGAAGGTGACATAAAAAAATGGAAGTAGATCACTATAGCCGCGAAAACACATAGCAAATTATATGAATAAAGGGGCCATAAATTCATGGAATTGCAAGGCTATGATGTCGATAATGTATAGTATAGGGAAATAAGCAAAAAAGACCCTGTTCAAGGCCGTGACAAATCCAGATATATTTTAATTTTTTAGTTATTATAAGGCCTATATACAGAAAACCTTTATGTTTTCTGCAGAGATTTCGGCATCTTTTTTTAATTATTAACAATTTACTGTAAAATATGTAAATGTAAATTACTGTAAAATATGTAGCTTGATTTAGATTCATAGAGTTTTAGCTTCCACTTCTTAGTCCATTGCTGGACTTCATTGAAGTTTTCTTGGAGTTGTTCTGCTGCAATAACTTTATCTGAACGTATCGTACAATTTTCAATATACAGATTGAACGAAATAAATTCGGACATAGGAATATAATGTATTTCGGCTCAATTCTGCTGTAGGTGGTTCGCCAACAAAATATTGTCAAATAATTATATTATAAAAATCCAATACTTCAGCGATCTGCTGGATTCTGAACTCATAAAAATTGAAAGCTACACATAAATCTAGGATTTATGCTGTCAAACCAGTTACTAGTCCAGGAAATGAAGCATTTCAGCTCGCAATTTTTTCGTGCTCCCTGAATTGACTTGAAATTAACAGAAGGTAGGTAATAGCCTAAGGATCAAAATCTATATCGAACCAAAGTGCGCCAAAGCCTAGGGGGTGGTTGCCACCCCATCTCCGGGGTGAAAATTTTTTTTACGTTTTAACTACAGGTTTCGATTAAAAAAGTGATTCTAAACAAAAAATATGCTATACATTTTTTTATAAAATGATATTTTTCAAGTTATCCGCGATATCAAGTTTTTCGCGAATAATTCGAAAATGGTGCATTTTATCAAAAAAATTGCAGAGAACAAATTTGTAGCTTTTAAAAGACAAATACAATTCATTTTTAAAATGTTCAGCGGGGATATAATAGGAACCGAAATACGGCCTATCAATGTTCAGCGGTTTTCTTCAAATGCCAAATTTGAAAGATTCAAAATCAAATATCGGGAAAATGATGCATTTTTGGAAGAAAACTCACAAAACCTTTTTAAAGAGCATAAATAGACCTATCATAAAAAAGACTCTAGCTCAAAAATTGAGTGAGTTATGATGAAAATAAGGTCAATACCTCATTTTTTACGAAAAAATCGAAACAACACCCTAACCTCCTCCATAATTAAAATCGATCTTTACCCTTCTGAAATTCCCTTTTTACATGTATTGTTAATACGTCCAAGAAGTTTGACCCATTTAAAATGCTTTGTGTTAGAAAAAGTACAGCTTAAAGCGAGAAACGATTTACATTTTCATATTTTTTACCCTTCTTTTTTTAAATATGCCCGAAAATACTGAATGAAAAAAATACAAATTACCAAATTGTAGCTTTTTTAATGACTAAAATTATCCTTCATTTAGATTTGTTGTACAATGAATATTTGGCGAGATATAGCCGTTTAAAGCATCGATTTACGATCAAGCACCATCTTTTTCGAGCCCTTTAAACTCACCCCATTTAAAAACCAAGGGTTCCAAAAAGATTTAATTCACAGATCCTTGTAGCTCTTAAAAACCTCTACAAATCGTTTTTGAAGAAACACTCTATCGTTAAAAATTAAAAGAAATACGTTAAAAAAACCAGTGAATTTTTTTCCGGAAAATTCTATTAGTATAGTACAGTACATTTCGGAGCATAATAATCTACAAAACCGGTATATTAGCTAGTGGGGCGTTATACATTCGAAATTTTAAAGCGTTCTTATTTTGAAATCCCATAAAACAGAATAAAACATCTGCTCATATGTCTATGGCTTGGCAATGAAAATATTAGAGCAACAGATTGGGGATGGTATTCCAAAGATGGTTTGTTATTACCTGTACGCATGAACAAACAACCTGCACTCGATGAACTTTTGAAAATTATTTTTGGCAATGCAAAAAAGGATGCGGTGTTTCATGTGGGTGCAGAAAAGTTTGTTTTTTACTGTAACTCTACTTGTTCTGGGTGCTCAGGTGAAGGGTGCAATAATAGTCCACCAATAATTGAAGATGAGGATGACATAGATCACGATCAAGATGTAATTGATGACGAATAAAATTAATAGTATAATTGTTTTACCTATAAATGTAAATATTTTCTACTATTTATGTAAAAGTATAAGAATATATGGTGCCTTTTTATGTTGATAAATTTTTTTGTATTTAATTCTACTTTTTTCAATTTATATCTTATAAATTAGTTTATAAAAACTGCAATGTTGTAAAGGATGATTTTCAAAAGTTGAAAAGTTACAAAATTTTGGCAAAAAATTGTTTTCACCTATAGCACTCATAACAATTGATTTTTAAGGATTGAAAATGTATGAATTTGTATTTTAAAGTATAAAAAAATCAATATTTAACTAATCCAAACCAAATTTCACTCATCTTAAGATTTATAATATTATTTTACAATTTTTGAAAATTAGGGGTAGTTTTCATCGCTAAGAACAATCAGGGTTGAGTTGAGCTTAAGTCCAAATTTTTATGCAAATCGTTCCAAGGTGAAATCATTTTCTTCGCATTACTAATTTTTTTATATTAATCTCTAATAAGGGTCGCTTTTTAAGGGTTGAAATATGATGGAACTTTATTCAAAAGCACGAAACTATCATTATTTATTTAATTCAAACCAAATTTTACCCATATTCAGGTTTAATATGTTATTTTATAATTTTTGACAATTACGGGTAGTTTTCACCCCTAAGAACAATAAGGGTTCGTCGACATAACATAAACTATAAAGCAGCGGGTGAATTGAGCTTAAATCCAAATTTTTATCCAAATCGATCCAAGGCGAAATCATTTTTTTAGAATTAGTAATTTTTTACATTAATCTCTAACAAGGATTGCTTTTTAAGGGTTGAAATATGATGGAACTCTATTCAAAAGTATAAAATAATCATTATTTAACTAATTCAAACCAAATATTACCCATATTCAGGTTTAATATGTTATTTTATAATTTTTGACAATTAGGGGTAGTTTTCACCCCTAAAACCCTTCAGCGCACTTCGGTTCGATATAGATTTTGATCCTTGGGCTATCATCTACCTTCTGTTAAAATTTCAACTGGATAAATGCAGGACGAAAAAATTGCGAGGTTTTAACTTTTTTCGAGATTCATTTCCTGAACTATTATCGTTTCCTTAGACAAACCCGTCTTACGCAAACAACATTGTTGTGAGACAGATAGTTGAAAGATATTTTATACAATGTCTATACCCAGGTATGGATTTATTTTTGTCCAAGTTTTATATTGGTCCACTATTTCAAATGCAGTTCAAACAGACATGTATTAAATTGTATGTTCCGTTTTAATTTGGTTCAACCTGTATATGATCAAGCAACAACATCCATTAAAATAGTTGAACATATGGAGCCTATTAAGATACGGCGAGGAGTCAGACAGGGTGACACTATATCATCCAAACTATTCAATCAAGCTTTGGAAGAAGTTATGAGGAAATTACAATGGGAAAAACGGGGTATTAACATAAATGGCTAATACTTGAATCACTTGAGATACGTAGGCGACATTGTATTAATAACAGATAAAAGGGAAGAATTACAAAATATGATGGATGAATTAAATAGCGAATCAACAAAAATAAGTCTACAAATGAATTATAATAAAACGAAAATTATGACCAACCAACCAGAAGAATTAATAATTACAATTGCACAAACATCTATAGATCAAGTAATAAAATATGTATATTTGGGACAACTAGTAAAATTAAATAAAGACCGGAGAAATAAAGAGAAAGATACGGTTGGCTTGGTTATCCTTCGGAAAACTTTCCTATATACTAAAAAATAGAAAATAACCCCAATATTTAAAAACAAGAGTCTTCTACCAATGTATACTTCCTCTTCTCAAACTTGGAAGTTTACAAAGGAAAACATGGAAAAAATAGCAAATACCCAAAGAGCCATGGAAAGGCAAATGCTGAACATCAGGTTATCAGACAAGAAAAGAAATACTTGGATCTGCAACAAAACAAAAGTGACCGATGTATCAACGCGAATAGCAAAACTTAAGTGAAAGTATACCACATTTTATATTTTTGGAATGCCACACAAAATGTTTAGAAATAACACTAATATAATAAAACGTTTCGCATACTGTTTAACTTACCAATATCTGAAGGAGGTCAGATGTACTGTCAAAATGATCTTTCTCCGTTAAATCTACCTTTTGATAGAACTGACTGCAGTAGTCCATTTCCTTGACTTCCTCCTTTATATCTATGTATGGATCAAGAAATTCATCGGAAAATATTGGTTCAGATTTTATTTTTTCCGAAATTTGAAAAATCTGACTCTTAGATAAGTAATCGTCCTCATCGTCGGATATTATGATTTGAATTTCATCATCGTTCATTGTATAATCTGCAATGGTATCTTGTACCTGAAAATTATATTGTTGAAAAAAATTTTAAATTTAAAGTTTAGTAAACCCCATTAGTGAATATAAAAGTGAACCCGCCCCAAAATATTGAAGTCAGAAGTTGTAACGGCAATCAAACAGAGCAAATGGGGAAAAGCACCAGGCCCAGACGACATATACATAGAGGTTCTAACAATGTTGAGTGAAGACAATTTGGACGCCTTGGTAGATCTTTTTAATGGCATTTATGGGTCCGGTCAAATACCACAGGACTGGCTTCAATCAACCTTTATACCAATCCCAAAAAAGCCAAACGCTAATAGTTGCAACCAATTCCGAATGTTCAGCTTATTGAGCCAGGTACTAAAACTCTTCTTAAAGATAATTCACAGAAGAATATACAACAGATGTGAAAGAGACATTAGTCCCACACAGTTGGGTTTCAGACAAGGATTTGGCACAAGAGAAGCACTTTATAGCTTAACTGTCCTACTTCAGAAATGCAGAGATCAGCAAAAAGATGTCTTCCTATGCTTTATAGATTACCAGAAAGCATTCGATTGCGTTAATCATTCAGAATTAATAAGATTGCTCCAGGAACGTTCGATAGATGAGAATCACCTTAAAATCATAAAGAACCTTTATATAAATCAAGTGGCATCTGTGAGAGTAGGACTGGAATCTACATCACATTTCTCAATCAAAAAGGTGTACGACAGGGTTGTATTCTGTCACCCCTCCTTAATCCTTAATCTTTACTCTGAAACGGGGGTAGGTCACGTAGCCCGATATAATGACAACAGGTGGACACAGAGAATTCTAGAATGAAGACCAAGGACGACAACAAGAAGCATGGGAAGACCTCAAAAAATATGGGTAGATGACATAAGAGCAGTGGCAGGCAAACAGTGGATTAGATTGGCGCAAGATAGAGAAAGATGAAAGCAATTGGGGGAGACCTACATTCAGGAGTGGATGGAAAATGGTTGACAAAGACTCTGAAACGATTTTTGATAGAGCCTTAAGTGACACTGAAGATGGAATCAAAATCAACTGACAGACTATTAGTAATCTTCGCTATACTGATGATACAGTCATAATAGCTGATAGCCAAGAAGCGCTACAACGAGTAATAGATAAAATAAACACTGAATGAGAACGACTGGGCTTGAAGATTAATATAGACAAGACGAAGGTAATGGTGGTTAGTAGAACACGAAATATTCAATTAAATATAAGAGTAAACAACAATAACATCCAAAAGGTCCCCAAGTTCAGATATCTCGGTAGTTGGATAATTGAAGATCTAGATCCAGGCATGGAGATACGTAGCAGGATTGAGCAAGCCAGAACAGCATTTACAAATATGAGAACTTGCTAAGCAACAGCAGCCTCAACTTAACGCTTCGATATTGCTTTGTAAAATGTTACATTTACTCCATACTGCTATATAGTGTAGAAAACTTGACCATAAAGGCCAATGTGATGAACCGATTGGAGAGGCCTTTGAAATGTGGTTATTTAGAAGACTATTTAAAACTCCCTGGACAGACCACACAACAAATGTCGAAGTATTAAATCGAATGGACAGAGAACGAGAATTGCTGCCAATAATAAAAAGAAGAAAAACTGCTTATTTGGGTCATATATTTCGAAATTCCAAGTACCAGTTTTTAAAGCTTATTATGAAGGGACGATAGAAGGAAAACGAGGCGTCGGAAGAAAGAAATACTCATGGCTTAAAAACATAAGTGATTGGACAAACCTCGATGCCCATGCACTTTTTAGAGCCACACAAGATCGAGAGGAGTATGCCAGAAATGTCGCCAACATCCACTAATTGGATAGGGCACCATAAGAAGAAGAAACCCCATTTTCTTTGTTTTTTTAAGGAACGAATTTTATTTGAAAAATATATCTCTTTTAGTTTACGAGCTAGAGCCTTATAAACATTCAATTGTTTGTAACAATTGTTTGACCATTCGGATCGAAATCCATCCTCGAAATTAGTAATCAACAGCCAAAAAAACTTGGGTGGACCCATCAGAATTGAAAAGGCCACGGTGATCTAGCTGTGGCCCCTAGACTAAAACTGTTTATCAAAATAATGTACCATACCTTAGAGTAGGTCACTTGATAAAAATTTTTTACATCCACGGTTTATAAATATTTAATATAATATTCAAAAAAAAAAAAAAAAATCAAAAATTTAAACTTATCGAATAGTGGTATGTTAATGTATTGCATCAGTTCGTAAAAATTTTATTCTTATACTTACAGATTCTCTAAGGACCTTATAGGACAAATAAGGTCCTGAAAAATTTGGTTTTTTCATGACGGCGAATATTCCAAATACTATATTATCTCCATGTTTTAAGGGTACGTTTTTCAATGGACTTATTTTTTTGCTGTTGATGAAAGTACCATTTTGGCTCTAAAAATGAAAAAAATAATATTCTATTATATTTTTTTACTTAGAAAATTTTATACAGATAACGACGTTGTTTTGTTGACCATAGGAATTAAGATTTATTGCAATTCCATCTCTAGAGTATATTTATTATAATGGTCTAAAATTAATTTTTGGTTATTTTTTAGCAATATTTAACAATAAACAAGAAAGAAGAAAAAATCAGAATAAGAATCGTTTGTACTTTTAAATAAAAAAAAAAACAATAATATTCTTCCAAACTTAAACATGAAAAATACTACCTAATTAAGAACCTACAAACTTCGTATAATGTAATAACAAAAAATAAAAATTAGGAAAGCAGATTAATGAATTAAGGGCTCAAATATTCGACCTCCTTGTGCTAAACAGTAACAGAAAGCTTATTCCCGATCTGAGACTGTGGTGGGAATGTAAATTCAGGAAACTAGACTACTTCCTGACGCAGTTTCTAACCGGACATGGTAGTTTTGGCACCTTCACAAATAGAATAGGCAAATCTGCCTCGGCAGACTGTACTGTTTGTAGGGTACCGGACCCTCCCGCCCACATTTTTAACTGCCAGAGATGGGCAAATGAGAGGGGAGATTACATGAAATTGTTGAAAGTAGGGGAAGTGTGCCTATGTCACAGTATAAAGAGGTTCCACAGTAAAACTACTCGTCTGTCGGCACTTTGATCTCAGGAAGTAATACCGGCAAAGTACGAAATTGGTAATCCACCACCGTTAACCTTACAGAGCCGTATTAAAATTTTCTGAGGCTTCCATATTTAACTGTCCAGATGTTCTCACTAAATGTTAATATTACAAAAACAAAGGGTTTAATAAATTAAAAAACAATATTATAATTCATTGTTTTATATTTTTCAACGGTATTTTAAATATCAACGGTATTGCGCAAGTTTTAAAACCTCAATGGTTTTTAATATATTGTACATGTCATATAAACGTTAAATAAAAAGGAGGTTAATTTCGAAGCTCTCACGGCATCGGCATTACTTATACTCTGTTTTTAAAACCAGGAGGAGTAATTCAAGTTTACCGCGATATAACGCTTGTTTATAATTCGTCCAACGGCAGGCAAGTTTACTCCACTGTTATGAAATTTTGACATTTATGAAATTTTGTCCTTATTTACATTTCGTAGGTGAATTTGGTTATTATCGGCGATTTTTTGTGTTTTCTGCATTATTCGTTTAGTTTTAGTTGTAGTCTGCAAAAAATTAATTAAATTTTGCAATAGTCTTTTCGTCAAATCAATCGCGTAATGTGCAGAATACATCAATTAAAATTCAAACTGCTGAAAAGATGTTTTGTGGTGATTTTTAGCCACAAATTTAAATAAAAAAAATTCTCTTCGTCTTCCTTATTTTTAACAATTTCAACAATATATCCACTTTCAGTAACATTTAGGTTGTATGAATTAGAAATCAGTCTTAAGAATAAGAAAAATACTTCGCCGGGAATAGGAATATATGTACGTTATATTATGTTGAAAAATTTATATCAAATAGAAAAAGAACACTATTAATTTTTTTAAATCAAGAACAAATCAAATCAGAAGATATTTCAGATAGTTGGAGAGAGTACGGGTGATTCCTATTCTCCTCTAAAAAATGAGGAACTTGGAAATATATGGCAAAATAGCTCTTGAAATAAATATAGAGCTGCATAAGAATTTATTATATTATAGAAGAAGTAATTATCAAAAAAATACATTATAAAACTAAATTATGAATTACTTAACTAACTAAATTAATCAAAAAATATAAAAAGGATTATTTATTAGAAATTAATGTTAGTATTAGTTTACGCATAAAATTGTATACAAAACAGACTTATAAGTAAAAACAAAAATTAAAATTTGAGAATGTATTTAGTGTCCGCAGTTATATAAACCCAAACAAACAACACGTTTAAAGCTAATTATGTTTCCAAATTATTTATTTCTATGCCCTTTTGTCTTAGATACATTAAATTTTCTATTAATTATTTTTAATGTGTATATATTCTTATTCTAGCCTATAATCAATGAGATAGCCCTTGGAAATTGCTGCAAGGATGCGTATTATGGTATTTTTTCGAATAAGCTAAACGTAGTTTTGTAAGATTTTCGGTTGATGACAAAAATTTTGAAATTCTCTTGAAAATAATTTCCAAATCTGTAACATACTGCACAAAATTTGCTCGGCATATAGAGCATAAGTGCTGCTTTGATTTTTCCTCGACAGAGAAAGATTTTTTAAGGTATTCAAAGGCTTCTAAACCAAACAAGTTTTGTTGTTACTCGATGGTCATGGTAGTAATAAAAGTTTTGAAGCTCTCCAGTTTGCAAAGAAAATGGTATTATTATGTTTTGTTTTCCTGCTCACTGGTCTCATCACGTTCAACCCTTGGACGTAGGACTTCTAGACCACTTCAAACTTACTACGGCCAAGAAATTCAATTATGGCTGCGACAGAACCCAGGTAAAATAGTTACCCAATTTAAAGTAGCCAGTATCTTTAATAGAGCATATTTAAAAAGTGTTCTTCCATCAAATGCAATAAATGCATTTAAAAAGAAAGGAATAGAACCGTTCAATACAGATGTCTTCGAGGATTGGCAATTTTTGCCGTCTATAGCAACAGATAGAGAAAATTATGAACAAAACCCACTACCAGGATGTTCTGACGAGAATTCACTACCGGAACATCGGAACTAAAATGTTTCTTCGATTGAAGGTTTATCAAAAATCACTGATCAGAAATCAACATGATCATCAGTCTTAAACATCTCGGTCGAAGATATTTGTCCTCCTCCTTTTGTTCTCGGACGCGACTAGTTCACGTTCGAGACGCATCGCCCCGCCCTATTTTTTCCGTTGGCCCCTCCCTGACCTGGAAATCCCTATTCGCTACTTCAGAAAGTATAAAAATAGGCGATTTTCAGGTCAATCAGGTCAGTCCCTCACGGGCTCTCCGAGGCTTAGTGCTCTCGGGGCTCTGCTCTTGTTTTTAGCTTTATCCCTATGTGGCTGAGATGTTATTCTACTGCAACCTGGTATTTTTATTTCGACTTAACCTTTGTCATGTAAGAAATATCTTGCCTTTTTCAAGGCAAGATACCAGAAGAAAACATTTACGAGTCCATAAGTACCCTGAAAATGGACTTGAGTAGAGGAGCTATCGTTGATGTTTTTGAAGCCCTCTACAGAGCACCCGGAGGCATTAGAAGGCGTTTAGACCTTTTCATTTCCCCGCGGTGACTCTTTAGCTCTGCGTATCTGAAGAACTCAGAAAGGAGTAGAAAACGGGGTAAAATAGGATATTTAAATTCAAACCCGAAATTGATGACATTAAAACAAAAAATTGCAGAAAAAGAAGCAAAAAAAACAAGACGCAAGAAAAGTGAAAAGGCAAGGTCGTGTTTCAACTACAAACAGTTCTAAAGACGATTGTGAATCTTCTTTAGAAGAAGACTCAGACAATGTAACTTGCATTTACTGTAACGAACTATTTTCACATTCACGATCCAAAGAAAAATTGATTCGTTGTCAAGTGTGTAAGAATTGGTGTCACAATAAATGTGCAGATGTAACGCACATTTCCCCTATTTGTCTAGTAAAAGAAAATTTATTATAAAAATTAAATTACCTTATTATCTTTAACATATAGAAGACCATCTTCAGTTTGTAAAATTTCTGCATGTTCCCTGGAAATAACAGTACTTTCTGTTTTTAAATCTGCATCTTGATGTCTTCCTATTTTAAAAACAGACTTTTTAATGTCAATTACTTGCTTTGTTTTAGTATTTTCCAATTTCCAGGTAAATGCCATTTTTTCCAATCAATTAGTATTTTGTCCACTTTATAGTCCTAAAATAATAAATATTAGCAACGGATTCAATTAGAAACTAACTTGAATAATGTGTTCGAGTGGTATATGAACAATAATTTGTGAATGTAGTTAAAAATGAACGAAATTTAATTCGGGATACATTACTGATAGTGATACACTATACTAATAATGTATGGCATTTTAGTTGGCGAGATCCATTCGGATTGTTCTGATTCCGATTGCATATTTGACTCTGTTTCAGGTAACTGGTATCGATGAACACTAGACCAAAGAGACAGACGGTTTTGGGTCCTCCGCAACACGGTGACGACTCGTATAATTTATAGAAATTTAAAATTTTGTTGTCTTCTTATTTTTATATAGACATGACTCTCTGTCTTTTCAATGTGCCTCCAATTTCGTTGTCGATGCCGAGAATAGAACTAGTACGTTCCGCTGAACTACGGTCGCCACTGCGTGATGTACTTTAATATTGTTATGTTAATAAAGATCTAGACATTTATTTTGATAAACAACTAACTTCAATATACATATAAATGCAGTTGTACTTAAGGAACCTAAGAGTCTCAGTTTTGTTTTGCCCAACTCAACTGTTCTTTATTTGGAGACATGTAAATAAGTATAGGGTTGGCCACTCGAAAGAGTCCACTCTGATTAATTACTATTAAACTGGGAATAAGCCACAATTAAAGATAAAAATACGTTTATTGACGTTTCAATTTCCACTTCGGAAATCGTTCTCAAAATACAAACAGTAAATTAAACAAATTTTGTTTTTTGTTACATAGTGAAAAATTCTTCTAATAATTTAATTTTATCTGACTCATTTATATTGACAATTCAGACATACATTATGCATTTTAAAGTAGACGACTTTAAAATGATATTGCCAATATTGTTGAGTTGCGCTCCTGGGACGACTTTACTTATAAGATAGTTCATTCGATTACATGAAATCAACTTTAACTTGAGAATATCCGTCAGAAAAAAATCATAGCATGTAATTCGTCTTTAAAAAGAAAAACACATGACATGATGACAGTAAAATTCTCCTGTTAGTGATTCCATAGTAAATTATGAGGGAAAAACCAGGAAAAAAACCTAATAATACTATCCCGACATTGTAAGTATTTGTTCGTGAATTTAGTTTACCTTCAACAAACATCAAAATTCTGATTTTATATGTTACGTTATTTAAAAAACATAAATGATGTATCCTCTATATGTTACTGACTTACTAATACTGGTATTTTCTGATTAATAACTTCCTCTTTCAATATTGGTAACCAGATCCTACTACATTCTGCCGAGGAATTTGCGACACAATTGGCTTCATTTAAAAAACCAACACACACCAATAGATATTTAAATTTCAAATCGAATCACAATATTAATGTAAAAAAGGGAATAATTAAATCCTTATACGATAGAGCCAAAATTACTTGTTCTAACGAAAATTCGTTCTTGGAGGAAAAACATTTATTAACATCTGTTTTATTAAAAAATGATTATCCTTTATCGTTTATAAATAAGGAATTTTCAACAATCGATCGAATAGAACAGAACAACTTAGAACGAGATCCTACAGCATACACAAGGAATAATATGACGAAAATAACAATACCGTACATAAAAATATTATCAGACAAACTTAAAAGGATAGGAAATAAATTCAACATTTCAACAACATTCAAAACAACAAACACGTTGAGATCTATTTTGTCCAAAACCAAACCTAACAATGAACAAGAAAGGACAAAGAATTGCATTTATAAAATACCTTGTGAATGCGATCAGTTTTATTTAGGTAAATCATCAAGGCCATTAAATGTTAGAATAAGTGAACATCAATCCTATATTAAAAATAGAGAATTTGATAGATCTAAAATCTGTAAACACGCATGGGATAATGAACATAGGGTTCAATGGAATAATTCAAATGTAGTCCTAAAAGAAACGGATGGTAAAAAAAGAAAAATCAAAGAAGCGGCTCTAATTATGCTAAATGAAGCCAATTGTGTCGCAAAGTCCTCGGCAGAATGTAGTAGGATCTGGTTACCAATATTGAAAGAGGAAGTTATTAATCAGAAAATACCAGTATTAGTAAGTCAGTAACATATAGAGGATACATCATTTATGTTTTTTAAATAACGTAACATATAAAATCAGAATTTTGATGTTTGTTGAAGGTAAACTAAATTCCCGAACAAATACTTACAATGTCGGGATAGTATTATGAGGTTTTTTTCCTGGTTTTTCCCTCATAATTTACTATGGAATCACTAACAGGAGAATTTTACTGTCATCATGTCATGTGTTTGTCTTTTTAAAGACGAATTACATGCTATGATTTTTTCTGACGGATATTCTCAAGTTAAAGTTGATTTCATGTAAACAAATGAACTATCTTATAAGTAAAGTCGTCCCAGGAGCGCAACTCAACAATATTGGCAATATCATTTTAAAGTCGTCTACTTTAAAATGCATAATGTATGTCTGAATTGTCAATATAAATGAGTCAGATAAAATTAAATTATTAGAAGAATTTTTCACTATGTAACAAAAAACAAAATTTGTTTAATTTACTGTTTGTATTTTGAGAACGATTTCCGAAGTGGAAATTGAAACGTCAATAAACGTATTTTTATCTTTAATTGTGGCTTATTCCCAGTTTAATAGTAATTAATTCACAATGCCACAAGAAAATAGCTTCAGAATAATATTAAGTCCACTCTGATATTTGGCAATATTCATTGATTTCGTGAAAATGCTAAAACAGGTCGTTTTTTCTTCCAAAGACATCTTGTAAGGATATAGATATCTGTCATTTATCAATCCCCTCCCTTCCAATATCCCAAACCTATAATTTTAAATAGGGAATATAACATGTGTTGTACATCATTAGACATTTTTTTCATATTCTCTATTCATAAAACTATATGTAATACATATCTTTTGTTAGTATCAATTTCAATTCCTTTTCCTTTATGGCAAAAACCAAATTAAGTAAAACAAAATTTAATAAAATTAACTAAATTTTAAATTACATAATTCATAATTAAAAAACAAACAGTTTACTCATCAACTATAATTATGTAATTAAATGTTAACATTGATCTTCACCAACGTCCAAACATTTACACTACAACATTTAATGAAGCAGGAATGATATTATAAATCTTGCTTTTTAAATCACCCCTGAAATGATTCAACAGAAAGAAGTCCATGGAGGTTAAATCAAGTAATCCCCACTCTTTTTCGAGGTATGTTAGTACTACACGTGGGTCTAGTGCTTATCCTAATGTAATGTCTAATAAAGGTGGGGATGTAATAGCTCAGATTGGTGATTAAATAGTCAATCTATTTGCCAGTTATTTTTCAGGTACATATAATGATAGTGAGTATAATCATAATGTACCTAATTTTAAATTGGACTATAGTGTGGATTTCCAGATTCAGAAGTTTAGTCTGACTGATAGTTTCGAGGGGATTAGGAGTTTAAAAACTACATATTCTTCAGGACCTGATGGTATACCTGCAGCACTTATTAAGAACTGTATTTTTCCCTTTGTAAACCTTTACAACAAATTTTCAATTTATCATTGTCATCATCTGTATTTTCACAATATTGGAAAATTTTGATTTCTTCCACCTATCTATAAATCTGGCAATTGTATGTTAACAAGTATAGATGAATAACTATTCAATCAGCAATCCGGAAACTTCTTGATAAATTGGTATCGATAAATCTCACCTGGGCTTGCAGAAACATAATTATTGATGAACATGGATTTTCAAACGGGAAGTAAACAGTAACAAACCTTGTCAATTATCAACAATACTTGTTGGGTGCATTTGAGAATAAAATTCAGGTCGACAGCGTTTACACTGATTTCTCAAAAGCCTTTGACCAGGTTAATCATAATCTTTTGGTCCACAAACTTCATGCATCTGGCTTTGGTGACCCCATTGTTAATTGGATTAAAAGTTTTTCTGATTGGACGTACACAGCAAGTTTGTATTAACAATTATATTTCAAAAGAATTTCATTGTTATTCTGGTGTACCACAAGGGTCTCATTGGGGTCCCTTGTTTTTTAACTTGTTCATTAACAGTGTCAGTATTGCGCGAAAAAAAACAGATTCTTCAGCTTTTTTTTAGTATTTTCCAAATTAACATGACCTAAAATTGCTACTTCTGTTTTATTAAGTATAGTTTTATTTAATATGTATGAGTAATGAAATTGCTTATCTTGATAAAGTTGATTAAATAATCTCACTGTTTTCCTTACACAGTTTTCAATTTCAAAAAATGTAGAAATAATTTCAATACATTTTGCGATAGATTACACCACTTCAAACGAATTTAAAAAATGGTGTACTTATTTAATATCGCTGTTAAATTCTACCATCACAATTCAAATGACTATACTTTTTGAAAATTTCTGTCAATGTAGTTTTTGATGTAACAGAAAAAATTTCACTAACACTACCAAGACATGAAGTATGAAAAAAAAATCATAGGTGCCTGATTTTTCCAGCTAAATAACTGTCTAATGATGTGCCACCCATGGTCTATTTCCTATTTAAAATTAAGGGTTGACAAATGACTTATATCATTAAAAGGTGACCCCTTTGGAATAAAACTCGACCTGAAGCATTTTCACAAAATCCAATGAATGTTCTCAAATATCATGGTATACTCTTTTGAGTAGCCAACTCTGTATATGTCACTCGTTGCCTCTTGTTGGAATGATGGATGGTCCTATTATTATAATATAATATAATTAAAATAATATAAATGACAAATAATGATTTAAAATGCAGGAATTTTCTGATAAAAATGAAGGGGGAAAAAACAAAGAAAGAGTTAAGAAGCTGGTTACTTCTATAAAAAAAGAAAAAGAAGATTGTACTATTGAAAATCAACCAGTTCAAGAAAAAGAAACCGATAAAGATGACTTAAGTCTATGATGTATT